CAGCAGCAACAACAGCAGCAGCAGCAGCAGCAGCATGTAATAAGAGGAAATCAGACACAGCCAACCTGCCTGCCAGTGCAAACCAGCATTTCCGTGCCCCTCTACAACAACCCCATGGCGTTCTCTCAGACTCATCCCATCACTACTCCCACTCAGATGCCAGCCGAAATTAGTGACAGGCAGCCACAGTCTGACTATGGCCAAGATAGGAGCCTAAGGTAAGAGTCTGGTCCATGCTGGATCCCCTTGACAGCTGTGTGCTAGGACGGTACTGGTCTGTGAGGGCCGGGCAGCAATCAAGCCGTGCATCCAGCATCCCTGCCTGGTGGATGAGGCTTTGGTAATGTCTCCAGTGTATGTGAAGCATGAGTGTTTCCTCTTGTGGGACTGAGCATTGGAAGTCAGTAAGCAGTGCCCTTACGGCATGTTTTGCATATCACTTAGCACCACCTTGGAGGCCTGGACCCCTTTTCTTTCTTCAATATTCCCATGTACTTTCCATGTAACTTAACTAGTTTTTTGCCCCAGGTGTGTACCGTTTCCCCAGCTCCTGTCAGCCAGAGCAGAGCTCTTGGGACCGGAGAAATGAAGGGCACATCTGCATGGCACAGTGCACTGGAAGCAGGATAGGGGCATTAGCGTAGCGCTCGGCTGAGCTGATGCACTTCCTGCCTTCCTAGTGGAAGCCTCTGATCTCTTGATCCCCATTGCTCGGGAGCTCCAGAATAGCCTTTCTCCAGCCATGACAAGTGCCTTGGAAACAGCCCATTTCAGGCCAGCCCCACAAATTGTCCTCGGAGAAGGGTCAGCAGATATTCGCTGTGCAAGGGTCTCTCAGGACCCAGCTCCTTTTAAAAGGTACTTGCTTGATCAGGTGCTTTATGATAAGGTTTCTTGGAGGCCCTCCTATCTGCAGAAGGCCATGTAAACCTTCCGTCCTACTCCCAGATGGATTTGGCTCCTTCTATCAGTAGTGATTGTGCCCAGTACACTTTCAAAGCAGAGCCCCGCTCAGCCCTATAGGCAGCCAAGTGTGGCGGTACCTGGGCCAGCTGCACACCAGCTACCTTAGACACCAGAAGTGTTGCCGGTGCCTCCCAATGTGCAGCACCTGCTGAGCTGTTTGCATCTTACTTCAGGGTACGTCTACACTGCAGTGACAGTAGTTCATGTTGGCATAACCAAGCCAGCTTGAAACTGGTTCTCTGGTGGATTTGGAGACTTTCGGATCTGTGCTGCCTCGGCTGTACCTGAATTCTTCGTTTACAGTCTTCCACGTACCTTTGTGAGACTCCAGGACTCTCCTGTGGATGGATCCCAGCTGGAGAGAATTTATACACCTGCCGAAGGAAGAAGACCGACCTTAACAGCCTGCATGAGGATGACCTGTTGCACCGATGTTAAGTTCAGCTAGTCATTTGTAACACAAGAGACTGAACGTTTCAGCTCCAGTCTGTGTTCTCGTTAGATCAGTCGGTGATCGAGTCAGGACTTTATCTGCGCACAACCATTAGCTTTTATGCAAAGTGAAGGAGTGAAGGTGCGGTGCTTTCACAGGCATGCGGTGCTTGAGACTAACCGACAAGGATATGAACACGTGACAAAAAAGTGCTTTTTATGGACCATTGCAGGGGTGTAGGTTGTAGCCGTGTTGGTCTAAGGACATAGGCAGACAAAGTTCCTTGGGTGAATCTGATATCTTTTATTAGACCAACCCAAATGGTTGGAGAATAGTTATTAAGCAAGCTTTCGGGTTCAAAAACCTACCGTGTCATTGTTTCATTCTTCTGCAGGATGTTGTTGGATCAGCCTATCCAAGCCATGATGCCCAGTGCTAACGGGACTAGTCAGTCAGGACAGAACAATGCTGGGAGACAACAAGGGAAGTAAGTCTTCATTATTCCTGCTTTCTCTGCAGAGGCTCGTGCCTGAGTGCAAAACCTGGCTGGTCTTTTCAGGGCCATGAAAATTATGGGAACATTTTCATTAGAGCTGGATTAAAAAATTATCTGGAAATGTTTGTAATGAAAAGACCTTTTCACCAAAGTAGAAATGCTGCTCTTTTAGTTTCCATTAAATCTGTTACAAAAATCTGATTTTTCCCACCTCTCTTTAATAACCAAACCCATTTTCTGTATTTTTGAAAACCAAAAATATTCAGGTTTTGCTTCCTCCTTGGGATGCCAAAAAGCAGGGAAAGTTGTCACAAAAATGAGAGCCTTTTGCCAGAGGCCTTACCCCTCGCTGTCCTAGGCAGTGTACAGAGATACACAGGGCGCGTCTACACGTGCATTTACTGTGCAGTAGGCAGGTTTTAGGCTGGTGTCTACACGAGCAGCCGTTAAAGCGCAGTAGGTTACTGTGCAGTAAGGTGTCTACACATGCATTACTGCGCAGTAATTAATCAGGCGTAAATTTGATACCTGCATAATTCAGGTATTGCAAGTCAGTGTAAGTCACCATAGTTACTGTGCAGGACAGGTGTGCATGTATAGACGCATGCCCATACTGTGCAGTATTTTTCGGCTGCCCATACTGCGCAGTAAATATGCACGTGTAGACATGCCCACGGAGACGTCGCCCCTGCTCCAAAGAGCTTATATGTGTTCCAGTTATCTGCCTGGCATTTAAGCTGCACCTGTCACATGACCCTGGTTTCTATATAGGATACAACCGTGCAATGAAGTCTGCTTTCCCCATATGAGCTGCTCCTGTCCTCCCCCAAGGACTTCCCCTATGGAGCTCCTCTGCCTGCTCTTGCGGATACAGCCCAGGGCAGGTTTGCCCTCGGGTTGTGCTAGCCTGCATGTGGCTTAACAAACTATCTTCTGGTTTATTCTCTTTTAACACCCCCAGCCCTCAGTGCGTAATCCCGTGCTAAATCCTTGCTTACAGTCTACTGATGTGTGTTTTTCCTCCTTTTTGCAGATTTGTTCCTGAGCAGCAGATGCTGCCTCCCCAGTTACAAATGCCACCGGTTACGTGTAGCACAGTCAGAGCTCCTGGCCCTTCGCCTGCGTTTTCCCCTTCCATGATGATCCCGCACACGAACTTCACCTCCCACCAGACGCATCCCCCCGTTCACCTCCCCCAGTGGCCACAGCAGCAAGTCCAACAGCATCATCTCTACCTGCAGGTAAGAGAGGGTTTCATAACCATTGAGCAGACAGCTTGGGAGGAACGGATGTGGCCCAAATCCTGTACATGACCTCCTCCATCTCCGTTTTACCTGTACCATGCTCTAGTCAGTATAGACCTGTGACTGTCCAGTCGCCCATAAGATTATTGTTTTCAAAACTGGTTGACACCCAAAGCTGGCACTGTATTTTCCAAGGAACCCAAGTCCCTTTTAGACACTAAAATAAGTGGCCAGAGTTTCAAACCGAGCTCCCCTAGTGAGGTGAGCTCTCTCGGAGATGCAGCAAGAAACAAGAAGCACGAGGAAGCTCCTGATTTCGGAGCGCTGGCCTTGCTCCGCAGCCCTCTGAAGTCACCCAGCGTGGAGCATTTTCTGTACCTTCTTCATTCCCTTCTTCATACAAGTTATTAATCATTTCAGAACGAAAAGCTCTTGAGGAAGCAGCTTTTCAAGAACAACTTCATAGGTTCATGCCCATAGATGACCCAGCTGATAGAAGGAATGGCTGAAGGGAATTAATAATTTAAAATAGTTTCCATTCTGTGAGGGACTCGGGGTGGGCTGAGGAACATTTAATGGTTGCTCTGGCCAAGCTGGTATGTAGTAAAGCAACAGGCAGAGATCCAATCCAGCTTGAGCTAATTAAACTGCAGGCCTGGATTAAGACAAAGTAATTAAATACTATCATCTCTAAGAGTAGAGTGAGAAACTTGATCAGTTTATGAAAGGGATGATATGATAGGGCTGTGGTAGCCAGGGCAAGACTCGATAACCCAAGAGGCCCAGTTTAGTTCTATGTGTCATGTTCCTAAGGGTGAAGTTACACTTAGACCAGACTAAGGGTGCTTAAAACACAAGCAGCCTCACATTAAAGCTCATTAACTCGTGCTAAGGGCCCTCTGAGCATAGCAAAGATATGCCACTTCAGGCAAGGTTTAACTCTGGGCCTTGCTACCCAGGTCACGTTAGGGCAACTTCAGTTTGCTCTGTGGAGATAGAGCGAGCAATTTGCATTCCTCCAGCATCCCAAGATGCACCATCCACCCACCAAGCAGGGATAGATCTCAAGTGTTGTGGCTCCTAACCCGTCCTCTCGTGGCACGTCACAGCTGTGCAGGCAACACCCTTAACATGCAACAGCCCACCGCATGTTTTAACTTTAATGCTGCTTAACAGTCCCCAGACTTAGCATGGACTAAATGCAACATGTAGTCTGACCCTAAAACACTGGCAGTGTATGCACATATATATAGCTGCAGAGGCAGTGAATCACCGGTAAATTATCAGTGACAACACGTATAAGACAGGTGCATGAGAGATGATAAGAGGTCAAATGACTTGTCCAGTCACACAGTGAGACAGCAGCAGTCTGGAACAACAGCCCTTTTGAGACTTGCTTGTACAGACCACGTGTTTTATCTCACAGCCGTTCATGGACGTGGGGTTTGTCCTAGCAAGGTGGGGTGCTGTCTCCACAGAGAACGTCAGTGCAGTGCAGTGAACTGGCTGAGGCCTGGCAATGCTGCCTAGGCCAGATGGCATGGATGGGCAAGTCCATGGGTTCACTGAGCCATGATACCCAGTTTTGCCTGCCTGCATTTGGGGTTGGGGTTTGGCTGGTAGATCTACTGCTGCTTGGACTGCCCGGCAGTTGCTCCAGAGAAGGAGGCGGTTACAAGTGAGTGCTGGGGACGCTCCAGGAGCTGCCCATAGCCATGGAAATTGGCTGTAGCCTTTTGCTGTGCTTCTTTATGGGGACAGGACTTGCCCCACATTTGCGCACACAGCTTGAGCCCGGAGCTAGCTGTACGTCAGATGTCTCCAGCATCCTAACTCAGCGTCCAGATACTCAAGGGGGCCCTGAAGCTCCGGGGTGGTTGTGCGCGGCTCACAGGCTGTACACCATGCATTTCTTTGATAATATTGTCCAGCTGCCCTTTCAACTGCAGAAAAGAGGCTAGGCTGGAAGCAGGTCTGAGGGGTAGTGTCACGCTTTCTTTCTGCAGATGCAGACTCCCGAATCAGTCCAGGGGAGTCAAGGTCAGCGCATTTTCCAGTCATCTCACCTCCCCCAGCAGAACAGCATGGGCTACTTCCTCCATCCTCAGCAACAAGCCTGCCACGCAGAGGGTCAGCCCTGCAACCTGCAAGACCTGCCTGAAATGCAACTGCCGTGACAGCCAAGCGGTGAAGAGGAGAGGATGATGTTGGTCGCAGCAGCTGCGCTGGGCACAAGCGAGGGGAAGGACAGCGCTAGCTAAGGAGAGGAGGCCTTCCTCGTTCGCCCGAGGGGTGAGGTTCAGCCCGGAGGGAAGCGTGGCACCCTGGGCCAGGGGCCCGGCAGGTGGGCTGTAAGAGCGTCTTGTTGATCAGCATTTTCACGTAGTCAGTTCAGTGCTCGCTGGTGCACAGCAGCACTTCCAGCAGCCACAGAAAAGTGCGGATCTGTTAAACAGCAGGACAGAAGACTCGAAACTGTGAGTAGCCTGAACTCCTGCAGCTTGTCTTGTAGAGATGGGTTAATACTTAAAGTGCAAAAAGCATTGGGAGGACTCAACGAGTAGGGTGTGGAGCTCCTGCCCGCCAAACCTAATGGACAAAAGCGGGTACACACTTGATCACCCAAAGGATTTGCTTAGGGAGGAGAACAGCCACAAGCAAAAACAGTCAGAGTGGGTGTTAGTGGCAGGGGGGGAGGCGGCAGTTAGTGGCAGGTACGAAGCCATAGGTGCACAGCGTGGCAATGCACGTGAGCTGAAAGATGGCTTTCTAGCTGCAGGTGTGTTTTATCAGGTCACCACAACGGTCACTTTGCAACTGAGAACAGCTTTTCAATTCATAGCATCGATGCTCCGTTTAAATATTGCTGGAAGTCACTGTGAATTGAAGACCAGCGTTTGGAAAACACATGCGCGCGCGCGCGCGCACACACTGTAACAACTTGCAGGATACCACTCACCCACCATGTAGATAATTCGTTTTGCTGTCATACTTCAACAATGGATTTTATTTCCCTTCTTCCTATACCTCAGCCCCGGTCCTTGTTTTTTTTTAGATGATTGGATAATGCTGCTAATTTATGTGACACCACTTCTGCCTGAATTTCTTACTGTTGTTATACCAGCTCACATCACACTTAGTAAGAGAAATGCATCAGGTTTAATTCTGGGTGAGACATGAAAATAAATTTCTGTGTTTCTATTCCCTTTAGCCAAATAATTTTCAGGGTATCAGTGAAGAAACTTTACAGGGGTTTTTTTGTCCCCACCCCCGATGGATGTTGCTGTACACATTTCCTTACACCTGGAAAAAAAAAAACAATCAAATGACAGCAAACTTTGTGGTTTTGCTGGTTCATGTTGCAGTCGGGCAAAGCTGACGTTTATACTGACAAAGGCACAAATGCGAGGTCGGGCCCAGAGGGATAGCAATAAATTGTATTTTTGTAAATTGTCACTTTATAACGATATGTTTATATTTATGAACGGAAACAGATGTGTATTCCTCAGTGAGTATATAGCAGTGTCCCTACTGTTTGTGTCTTTCCAAAGGAAAATGAATATTTACGTGGTTGGAGGTTTTGGTTTTTTTTCCTATAGTAGTTGAATGCTAGAGCTGAGCGCAGTTAGATCCCATCTTCAAAAGAGAGGGAGCGTTTATGCCCTTAATGCACCTGTTTTGGGATAACACGTGGGACCTCCCTTAAAGGAAGGAAACATGATGGTATCTTGTGCCTGATTTGCACAGTAATGATGAATGTTATGGCTTGGGGGATGGAATAAAGCTGTGGGCAAGGTGATTTGCTAACCTATGTCTGCCCTCCCGTCGCTGAGCTGTTCTACTGCGGCTCTTTTGTAGCAAGAGTCTCAGCATCCAGGCTGGTTGCCAGCCTCTAGGCATGGAGATGATGTGGACTGGAGCGTGGGCTAGGTCTAGAGTCACCCGAGTGTGCCTCAGCACTGGGCTCAACGCTGTTTGCTGTGGGGCAGATGGGGCTTTGGGGCTTCTCACCTCTCAGTGCTGAAAGAGCAGGGAACAGATCCACCTGCACAGACCCTGCACGTGTGCTCGTCCCATTGGCATTGTCACTGCCCCAGGGCGAGCGGGACATGCAGGCTTTCACATTGCCCTTCATCTGCTGGATCAGGTCCCAAGGGGAGGGTGGGTCGACACTGAAAGGCTTCGCTTGAAGCCAGATGCACCCACAAAGGGAGTCCAGCACCATGGTAGGAGAGTGCTAAGCCAGGGAGCCGTCCCCAGGCCAGCTCTGCATGAGCGACTGCTGCTCAGCCATGCGTCCGGGCTGCACCAGTCACAGTGACACTAAAACTGTTCCAGGAGAAGGTCAGATTGCATTTTAGTCTTCAAGCCTGCCAGGGTGTTTGCCACCACCTCCTCACCCCTGAAACCCACCCCTACCCTTCAGCTATGCACACGGGACAGGCCATGTGTGTGAGAGTCAGGCTGGGCAGCATGCACACACAGGCACACGCGTGCGCACACACACACACGCATGCAAATTGCCCATTAAGAACGATGGAGGAAGTGGGGGCGGAAGGAGGCTGGCAGGGGCGGAGCCCCGCACTCTCCCCAAACTTTCAGGTCCAAACCCGCTTCCCCCCCCCCCCCCGGGCTTTGGGTCAGAAACCCCTCTCCCCACACCCAGTTTGGGTCTGACCCCACCCCACCCCACTTCTCCCCAGTTCAAGTCTGACCGTGCTCCCCCCTGCTAATGTAGTCCTCTAGCCCCCGGCACACCTGCAGGCCAGGCTGGCACTGCGGCGTGAAGCTTGCCTGCTAGCTAGTGTGAGCGTGAGTTACCAGTGCAGGGCTTGTGCCAGGGATGAGGCTGGCAGCAGGTGGGGTGGAGCGGTGGCCGGGTGTTCAGGTTAGTGCCACTTTGCGCGCTCTTTGGTGCCAGACAGAGACTGTCCATGGCCACAAGCATCAAGCTGCTTTTGGCCTTACACCTGAACTAGGGCTAATCCAATGTGCAAACTGCCCCCGACTGCTTACCCCTTCAGCTGGTGGTTACAGTGAGGCCATCATGTGCCATACAGGAAAAGCAGCTGACCCGTGCTTAGGCCATGCTGCCACTGCCTCCTCGTGGTCCTAGCTGCGATCTGCTGGCTTTGTCTGCACCCCTGTGGAGGCGCTTGCATGGGGCACTGTTAGCATTCAGTAATCACATAGGGTAGAAAGGGAACGTGCAGAGGGAAAAGAAGAAGTGGTTTGTGTGCGTCACCGCTGTGCTGCTGCTGCTGTCAGTGGCTCAAGGGGTGAAAGTCACCAGCGCAGCCCTTTGCCCCTGTGGCTGGGGTACAGCCCTCGCCTCCTGCTCCTGCTCGGGTCGCTCTGGAGGATGGCAGCGTGGCGGGGGGTCTTGTCTGGGAACAGCAGCAGCCGGCTGCTGTGGCAGGTTTTCCACCCTGTGCACATCAGAGCAAACACTAGTCTCCCCGTCCCTGTCCGCCCCTTTTGCCATTCGCTGGGGTAGGGCCATGAGGCCTTACGTGCCTGTTCCAGCAGTGGGTTTGCCTTGGCTGTTGGGGCAGCATGCGCCTGGCCTGCCTGTCAGCTGTGGGGAACCAGAGCACACCTGCCATAGCACAACCGATGGGGTCCAGGCCAGCAGGCACCACAGCGATGCTCCTGGGGCTTTCCTCCTTTTCTCCTCTTGCTGAAATGAGTGAGTCATGAACCGGGCACTAGGAGTTCCCCGGTCCCCGCTCCCCATTTCCACTTGTAACTTCCCCGTCTTCCTCCCGCCAGCACCCTGCCCAAAGCTGGACACCCACGGAGCTGTTTTTCAGTCATGTCTAGGCTTGAACCAAGTAGCAGGCTGCTGCAACAGGCTTGTACCAAGATGAGCTCCCACGTCCTGCAGTGCTCAGGTGGAGGGAGGGGGTGCCTGGAGGATCGGGATCATCTACCACAGCCAAATCCCCTTCCTCCACTTTCTTCTACATCTGCTTTGTCTCTTTGCTTTGCATTCTCCCCCCCCACAAACGCAGCCTTGTTTTAGCAGAATAAGAAGGTGGCAAAGGCATTGTGCAGACTCTTCTCTTAGGAAGAGGCTCCTGCCTTCTAACTTTACACGCTGGTGGCTGCGGGGAAGGTCTCGTCTCTGGCCTGGCTCAAGCCTCACTTCTAGCTTTACAGTGAGTAGAAAAGGAGCACAAAGAGGGCTCTGGCTGTCTTCAGTAAGGCATTTGCAGAATAGCTGGGCAAAGTAAAGACAGCTGCCTGTTTTTAGAGCACTGCTTGGGAGAATTGTGCACCCAAGGCTGGCATCACGGCCGTGTGCTGTGTCCCCTGCCCCTGGGTGCAGCTGCAGTGGATGGGGCTGTTGATGGAGCTACCTGTGTCATCAGGCAGCGTAAGGGTGCAGGGAAAGCAGAGGGGAATGGCGGTCCTAGAATGAGGGTTGCTGGAGAAGGGAAACCACAGCCCCTTTTTTGGATTGGCCTCGCTGAAGACATGCACTTTATTACGGAAGAACAATGACCCTTCAGCTTCATGCCATTGCATGGTCGTGCCCTCAGTCAAACACCCAGCAACCGGGCACAGCCCTGGCTTGTCACCCCACTGGAGAGAGGCACAGGCAGCAAGTGCCTCGGCCGTGGGAGCCAGCGCTTTCAGACAATCACCGGAGGGCCGGCCCTTGCGGTCCCTTCTCAGGGTTTACTCCGTTACTGCATGGTTCCTTACTCAGGCAGCCTCCCGCTGACTCCCAGGGTGCTGGGTCTGGGCATGTGATAAATCGGGACCTTGGGATGTGGCCTAAGGTCCTGTCGCCCGCCCTTCTCTCTCAAAAAAAAAAATTATATGAATAAAGAGCCACTCTCTTCAGGGTCATTTGGATTCATTACCTCTGTTAGCTACGCCCGGTATTTCTGTGGAGTGTTAGGAAGTGAGTGTAGCTGGGGTTGGACACGCAGAGGATGCTTGTAGTGGCAAACACGTTCTCCCCGCCGGCTGGGGACTCAGCCTGTGGGATCGCTACTGACTACGCCCAACCGAGGGAGCTGGCTCCAGGTGAGCTGAGACGCGTACAGCAGAAGGGGTGCAGTGCGAGGCTTTCCAAGGCACGTGTCCGACAGGCCAAGCAATCCCCAACCTTGGCAAACACAGGCAGCTTTAATCTAAGTCTTGCACTTTTAGCGTATTTGTACATATAAGCTATAGCCTGAAAGGTAAAAAAATTAAAAAAATTTAAAAAGTTTAAAAAACATAGTGAAATGTCACTGTACATATTGTAACATATTCCATGTAAAAAAGGCTAGAATTGAATATGAATATTAGTTCTATTTTATATGATGTCAAATAGAGATGAATTTATAAATGTTCCTATTCTTAAAAGTATTTTGTAATGGAAAAAAGGAAATGTCTTATGAAGACGAACCCAGGACAGATTTTATTCTTGTCTCGAATATGCGTCCCTGGGCAGCTCCATTGGATGGCAGCTGTTGCATCTTGACAAGCTTTAAACAGATTGTACATAGTATTTTGGAAGAAAAATAAAAGTATACTTTTAAGACCGCTTACACGTGCTGGTGTTCTTTACTCTATAGCTTGGGTCCTGCCCAATTCTTCTCCAGGGTTGTAGATGAGGTCCTTAAACGTGCAGGAACGTGGATTCAGAGGGCAGCAATGGGCTTATGGCATCTTTACATCCATACATACACCTGTAGGAGAAGCGGGTATAACATGCAAGACAAGCTGGGATTTCCTGGTAGAAGGGAAAAGAGCTAGATCAGGAGCGGCTGGTGGAAAGGAGGATATTGCCTGACTGGGAGGGAGACAAACCTGCCTGAGAGAGGAGGACTTGGCTTTAAATGGGGAAAAGAGGCAAGTCTCCTAAAGAAGCAAGTTACCTAGCCCCCACCTCCCCCCTTATCAGGTCCCGACGTCTTAATTCTAGCATCTCCAGCATCCCTAACACTGCAAAAAACGGACTGGTCAAACCCCACGGCAAACCTGAAGATTTCTGAAAGGCCACGCGAGGAAGTAAAATAAGGTTTCCAACACAGACTTTCTGTGAAACAAGTTTATTGGATATCCCATCAGATTTACAGAGCTTCTGCTGCTTACAGTACAGCATACAACAGGCCAGCGTGCCAGCGCACACACACGTACGACACGTTCTCGATGATAGAACGGTAGCAAAAAAGACGAGATACTTTTTATTTCTCTGCAAACAAACTGAAACAAGGCTGTTAGTTCTGTGTTTTTTAAATCCAAATCACTGCAATTAAATTGCAGTATTTTGTTTAGTACAACAGGGTGATGAACTTTTAATAATGTAGCTAAAACACACGTTTCCTAGTTGCAATGTTGGCCAACCATACCAGCCACACTCAGGAGCTGCATCTAGCTATGGAACAGTAAAAGTTACTGTTTTTCCTCTAAGAGAAGAGCAGCGTGAAACTCAGAGGCTTTCTTCTGTGGCCTCTGAGTCAAAGCCGTCCCTAACTTCTTGGAAACATTTGACTTTGTGCTATAACAGTCCCCCTGCAAGTTGGAAATATGCAGTCTCAAAGCAACGGAAATCCTAAGTTCTGCTTTCCCCTCAGTCTTTTGCACACACCAAGAAACGATGGGGTAATATTAACTACCAGACTGATTTTGTGGTTCCAGCCTAGCAATGCTGCTTCCCCTTGCTGCTCTTATAACTTCTGAAGTCTATCCAAGCGTCCCACAACGCATCTTTCCAGGTCACACACATGGGAGGGCAAAGGGACACACTACCCCTGCATTAGCCAGTCCCTTACATTAGCACGTTTGGCGTTTCTGGTCCCAGTTTTAGAAAGGTATTTTATGTGACAACCACCATGGCAATGGCCCCAAAGCGTGTTGCCCAGCGGGTGAGGAAGGGCTGCTCAGATCATACTGACAGCAGGTCAGGCCATGGAGGGATGAGCCTCTCCTTACCCTGCCCTCAAAAGCACGCTCGCGGTTTCACAGCACCTGGTTCTACTTGACAACGGCCTGAGCAATAAACTGTGAGTACGACCAAGCCACGTCTCTGCTGAACTCTCCAGCTCAGTGTCCCTTTTATACGGAAAACAACCTATTTCCCTACTTCTTGGCAAGAGACAGACAGCTGATAGCATCGTCCCAGTGCTTCTTGATTTGGAACGGGGCGAGGGAACGCTTTATTTGAGCTCCCTCGTTCTCTGCTGGTGAGCTGTTCAAGCAGCATGTCCTCCCCTTCCAGGGGAAAGCTACCGGAGACACGCAGGGCTTACCGATAGACCTTGAAGACATTTTGCCCTGCACCTAACGAAGGGCCCTGTCCAGTGCACAAATCACACTGAACTTGTTGGCTCATGAAAATCAGGTGAAATTCCAGAGGGAATTTATTATTCCTCTAATAATTCCAGGTCAGGGACTCTGCCACTGCCAAAGCCTCTGCCGAGCCCGATGCCCTTCTAAATGAGACAACTGGACTTCGACAAAGAGATGCAGTCAGTCCCTCACAAGGGCTGGGACAGCAGACTAGGCTCGTTTCTGCATCATCAGGAAGGATTGTAAAGGCAACGCTCTAAGGAGCAGACTCACCTATCTGCTACATCTGCTGCGCAACTTCAAAGGAGGGTGCCTGAGACGCTTGGTCACCCTGGGTCTACTTACTAGGACAGGCAGCTTCCCAGCAGATGCTCCATGGAAGAAAAGCTTCCACTCCATCAACTAGGCTTATATCTCTTTTGTTGGCCAGGCTCCCTCCACCGAGGCAGGGGGAGACACACAGGGCCAGATGCCGCACTCAGTCACCCAGGACAAAGCAAGAGCATCCCCTGGACAGTCAGTCAGTCAAAGCGAACTAAGGGTACAACCCTAAGAAACATGCACGCTTCCTTCAACCCTCCAGGGAATTCAGTCACTGCAGGTAAACGTCTATCAGAGCAGAGCTAAAAGCTGGTGTAAAGGGGATAAGAATCCAATCCACGGCTTCCAAAAACTAAGTTTAACAAGTCCACTCTGCTTAAGCAACTGCATGACTCTCCCATCTGTTGCGACATCATTTCTTCCAAGCTTTCCCAACTGAACGTGACCTGCCAGAGACCCGGGAAGCACCGCTGCCCACGGCTCGTCTGGCACAACGCTACAGCTATTTCCCAGGGGACTAAGCTAGGGGCTTATCATGGAATTATTAAAATAGACATATTTTCAATGGCCAAAAACCTCTAATAAATAAGGGGAACTAAAGACGGACAAAAGGCCCCAGGAGAATACAAAAATAAACGAAGGACTGCACTTCTGATATACTCGCTTTTAAATCCATTTTAAGATTTGCTGATCATTCTGCATATAAATATATAGGATACTTGTCTTATAGACACAGATACAGACTTTCCATATATATCATATCATTAATAAATGTCTCTATATCTTATCTTTGAACAACAGTAACAGAAATTGCATGATGTGACATTTTTAAAAGTGCCTATCTTATGTCACGGACCCATTTAATATCATGAGACTACCGTACTTCACAGGTTTCCTTAGTACCTTCTCCATGCATATATTGGAACCTGCACATAATGATCGGTGAAAAAAACTTGGTTGTTTCCTCACCACAACATTTTATCTAATACTAAAAATTCAAGAAACATTTCAACTTCTAAGCTGGCTCAGCAAACGCTGCCTGCTGCGAAATGTCTTTGGAAATTAAAAATACAGGGTTAGATCCTGCAAAATCCATTTTATGTGAACAGTTGCATTGGCTTCAAATCTGAGGCTGCTTGCCTAAGAATTACACACTTGAGTAAAGGTTTGTCTGGCAAGATCAAAATGACTGGCTTTGTTTTCTAAATTCTTACAGAAAGCATTGTGAAAAACTTCTAGTAAATACAATCCAATTCTCTGCTGCCTGACTTTGCCTTACAAAATGCATGGGAAAGGCTATATGTAGCCTATACTTCAACCTGCAAGATACAAATCAAGGCTATATAATATCAATCTATTTTATGAAAGTTTCTAAAGAAAGCTGCTCAAGAGCTGAACTCTATGTATTATGTAATTGTCCATAATTAATACTTGCTCATTTGAGTTTTGAGTTCTTATTAATTCCTGAGATTAGGAAAGAATGGATACACACATTCATTGCTTATGACCTGGAGAATACCTGCTGGCTAATTTATTTAGAGGAGACCGTTGCTTTCACATGGCAACAGTGGTGACATTTCCTTGTCATCCTGCCAGATCAGAAAAAAGCAGTGATGGTCCTACTCTATTTAAGCATCACAGAAAGGCATCTAATAGTGCTACAACATCCTGCCCTACCTCCTTACAAATTACTCACACCATATAAAAATAGTGTTGCTTTGCAGCGAGAAATTGTCATGCAGGCTTTAGAAATATGCATTTTAAACAGTTCACTGTTCTCGAGTTTATATATAAATACAAGGTGTTCTCCCCCCTCTTTGTCAAAGCCACTTTAAATACAAGCTACATAATGCTCAGGCCCACTCAGCATACCTCAGTGGATCCTTACAATAAAGATGGTTCCATTGTCGAGGATTCCAGCTAAGCTGCTTTTTCCCCCTGCTGACATGTATTTGAAGTCCCACTTCAGAGGGACTCGGGAAGATTTTGCTGTTGCTGTCTGTGTCGACTGATATAAAATTTTACAGTGGCAATAATCCAAAAAGAAAGTTCACTAAAAAAGGAAGATAGTTACAAGCTGTAGGCGCTGATAACAGTTAACAAAAAGCAGAGTCCACTGCAATCTGCCAGTAACCTGGTTCAGCAGTCACAGATCAGCTTATTAGGAACTTGCAATTTTTGGGCCTTGAAAATGATCCTGCATGTCTCCAGCACCCTCCAGATGAGCAAACAGGCCTCCCTTTACATCATCTCATATGCCTTACACAGCAAAAAGAGCAGCCATCATTTCGTGGGGTCCTTGAGCCTCTAGCAAGTAAACTAGGGCCCAGTTCACAGGAGATTAAAGCTTTTGATGACCCATCCCTGGCCTTCACGCTGTGAAGCAGAGGAACCAAAAGATTACCAGTGACCATCCCTGCTTTGCAAGGAGAGGATGCCACCAGGCAGCGGTCATACTCTCCTCTGGACTGATGGACAAAAACCCTGGAGTTGGGGCGGGGGAGAGAGAGGGAGGGTCAGCACATCAACTGGATTCACAAGCTTCAGGGCTGTAAGGAGTTCAGCACATTCACTGGATTCACAAGCTTCAGGGCTGTAAGGATCCAGTTCAGAAACGATACCATTAAGTAAACTGGGATTCTAATCTGGATGCTACACAAAGGCCCATTTCTAAAACCCACTCTTCATTTTAAGCTAGTGAAATCTAGCAAGAAAAAGATTAACACTAAAGTGACGTGGCATTCTTCTCTATCACCATGATCTGGTGGCCACAAAGGCTACTAGACCACAGTTTCCTATCAGTAGGACTGAGGTTTCTATCCCGGATTGATGAGAGTCTACATACAGCTTCAAAAATGGCTTCCTGGAAATCAGACCAGGCAGAAATTAAAACATTTTGATACCACTATTCATCATAATGGAAGATGGCAGAAATCCTTACATTCATCACTCTGAGGATGAGCAGCATGTCCAAGGGAGTGTAACCAGTAAGAGCTGATACACAGAAAGCGTTGCCAACATGCCCTCTTTCGGTCAACATTTAGAAGTTTAAAAATACTGCATATCTTGAACGGGGTAAAAAATGCCACTCATGTTTCAGTCCTTTGTGCAGTGAATCTGTGAATAGTGTGAAGAAGCAATTGCGCTTCAAACTAAATTTAATGTCATCAAAAAAGCATACCATTATGTGGTGGGGCCAGCTAAACCCTCAAGCTCCACTCACAAAGTAAACTCCAGGCTCCGTTCCTATAGTAAAGGCCTTCTTTTGTAAGCGCTGTGTGTTCATACAGGGTGCAGAGATGGGGGAAGTTACAGTCTGCTTCTTGCTTTCAGTTGGGAAGTTTTAGCATTTTCTACTTTAGCTTTTAAGTCACTGGGTTTCTCAAAAAATCTCACCAAGGCCGGTTCATTTAGCAAGGATGCCAGGATCTGCTCAAAAGCAAAAGACCATTCATGGTCTGCGCTGGGAGGACCCTGCATTTTACTGCTTTCAGGCTGCTGTGGTTCATTCTCCTCCTGCAGTTTCTTTTGGTCCTCAGCAGTCAATTCCACTGCCACAGCCGGACTTTTGCCTGGTGACGTGGAACTCTGCAGCCTTCTCCCAAACCCTGCTATAGCTCGATACAACAACTCCTCCTCGGGGTCCCCATGGAACAAGTTGTACAGAGTCTTTGAGAACTGAATGAACTGTGACTGGGGAGAGACAACGAGGAGATTATTCAAAGAACATCAACAGCCCCTCTCTCACCAGCAAGCTTCTCTCTCAACCTGCTTTAACTGAGAAGGGCATAAAGAACACAACCTAAATTTCCCACTAACGGCACAATAGCCATTTCCCTGTCGCAGCCTGCCTAAGCTCATTGCATTATGTAGGAAGGAGAATGGACCTTGATTATATCTATAGAGCAAAAGAGAAATATGCCCAGATCCTGCTGCAGTATCAAGCCAATCAAATTCCACCGTTTCCTTTTTTGGAACAATGGGGGTTCGGGTCCAGGACTCGGGCTCCTATGCACTATTTTAAATAATAATAGGTGTAGATCAGGTTTGAAATTGCTACCTGTAAAACCCGGATGATAAGCTTGGAAACAGCCAAATGGGTGGCATATGATTGAAAGTCAAAGGATCTCCAAACACACTGGAATGTAACGATTCCAATTATATTTAATTCAAGTGAGTTTAATCCAAGTCAATTCAAGTTGAGTGAATTTAATCTGCATTTAATCCAAGTCAATTTAATTCAAGTGATCTAAAGGGGACACAGCAATGACGATTTCGACTGGCACATGGAAAGCCATTAAAATATGGTTCTACCTGGTTCATTCTAGGCAAATCCTTGATATTTTCTTCTTTTTTAAGAAGCTCATCTTGCCACTGCTTCAGATAAGCCTGAATATCAACCTTCCCTTTACCTGCTCGAAGACAAAAGAACATGTCAGAAGCGCTGGATCTCTGCCACAATCCCAGACCCCCAAGGGGAATATCTTCTATTAAGTAACAGATATTTTGGAATACTTGGTTTACATTTTTTGTTTGGGTGCAATGATCACATGGGAAAGGAAGGAAACAATTACCACACAATGTTTCCTGTAAACAATTATACCAACAGACGTCTTATGCCAAGGTCCAGGTTAGAAGCTGAATTGGCATTAAGGTTCAAGTTCAGGCTTAACAGGGGTTCTCATAAGATTTCAGCATAAAATAGTTTTCACAAGACTATCTTCTTGCAGATCTCAGGAGAAATTGTACACAAGATTGTGGCCACAGGCTGACTTAGCACGAGATCCAGCTACAAGGACTGGTTTAGATTTGAGGATTTAAATCCAACTCTCCTCCCAAATTCGAATGACCTCAGGTTAGAAGTACCAGAAGTACCTGTTTTAGTCCTGTGCTGCAGGATGTCTCTCAGGTGCTTAAAATATATATAGTTTGGAATTACTCCAGACACAACCTGTATCAATTCAGCAACAAATAGCAATGACTGCTCTAAAGTGCGAATTAATGGAGAGTGGTCTGGAAGAAGACAATGGCTCATCCAATATTAAACACCGGGGTTTCTCCCCTGGGGCACCAGTTCAAACCTAGACCTGCTCAGACAGCAATGACCAGGAGTCCTTGCTATTAGGCAGGTGCTAGCAGCCCATTTGAAATGAGTTTGTATCCTCCATCTAGTTTCTACACGGCAGACTCAGGGAGGCCAAGGACTGAATAGATGTATAAATATAAAACATCTCCAGCAGTGACCTGTGCTGAATAAATACACCTACGCTAATACAAATAGCACCGCATTACACATGGTAGCATGGGGCATCCAAGCTGCTAATAAGTTAGGAAAATATACTTCCTCACCACAAACGGCCTTAATTCCTCTCCCTCAAATGCAATACAAGGCTAACAACTGTCTCGATTCACTGATCAGGATTATTTTACCTTTTTCTGGGCTCTTCAAGGCATCAGCTTCCTGACTGTCCACAGGAGAGGAAACTACATTTGAAAAGAAAAATTATTTGTTTCTTTGAGAGATCAAGTACATGCTGTTTTTTCCTTGAACAAAAATCTCTTCCTCTGGAAGCACATTGCTTAAAAAACATGCTTGCTTTTGTGCTGAACTCTACTGCCACTGAGAAGCAGCTATACACATTTCTCTGCCTCCTAAGTCAACATCCAGACAGCACAGCTAACCAGAGATTGCAAGATGAGCCATAATGTAAACAGGTTCTCCCCTGGGATTCGGTGCTCAGTAGAACGTGATACCCAACTACTGTAGGTATTGCGCCTCTTGTGTGGATTTTGCCCTTAAACATTTGCTTACAAAGGACCTTAGATGAGAAGAACTTCCCAGGAGTTTTCTTTAGAGACCCCCATATTTGGGTGCCCGTCTCAGGATGTGCAACTTCAGAAGTGGGAGACAAAGGTTTTGAAACCTCTCAGAAGTCTAGGCCCGGAAGGGTATGGATTTTGATATTAAACTCCTAGGACAGGAAGCATTCACTTATGCCTGGAGCAAAATGGTAAGTATAATGTCAGCCCTTAGATACTGTATTTTCTCTCACAACACACGTACCTTTTTCCCCCCACAATCAAACCCCTAAAATTGGCATATGCAGCCGAAGCAGGAAAGCTGATTTTTCTGCCTTGGTTAGAAGCACCCTGCTTTGATTCCTGCTCCAAAATCAACTGCCTGCTGGCAGCAGTGGCATTTCTATTCAGGCAGCTGAGGGAATCAATTGACTTAATGGCTCGTTGTTCTTCACTGCACAGGTGTTAATGATAGTCTCTCCTTTGTAATGGTCCTGAAGTTCCACTGGCACTTTTCCTGTCTGCTAGCTACTCCTGGTCTCTCCTCTCCTTGCAGCCTTGCAGAACCTTTAGCTCTTTTCAAAATCACAGATGCACCCATGGACACCAGTCTTTTTCAGAAGCTAAGCTTTCAGCTTTTGGTTAAGTAAGGAAGGGAAGGTGAGTGATTCGAAAATACGGCTGCATAAAGTAGAGACAAAGCTAAACTCTGGAAAAATATTTTTCTTCTTTATTCTGCCTTTCCACAAATAAGGTGTATGTCTTATTTGGGGTACGTGGTATTAGAGACAATATGGTCAAATTAAAATATAAGAACACATTTAACTGGTGCACTGAGGCTGTGATCTGATACCTTATTTCCTCCCCACCTGTATTCCTCCATTTTGACTGCCTCTTGTCTCAGATAGTACGAGGTGCAGGGAATGGCTTTTGTTTTGCATTTGCACAACACCTACCAGAATGGCTCGGTACTGAGGCTCCTATGTGCTACTTTAATACAATAAATAACAAAACAATAGCGCAAGGCTGCTTACGGTAGTGTATTCCACAGAATCTAGCCATCAACTGGCCCTTTAGCCTGATGCAACCCAAGCATCAAGATAGAGGAAACTGTTCTAAAGAAACTAGGATAGGGTTTAGCCCTCATGTCATTGGTGCCTGTATTTTATACCAGCATTCTTCATCTGCATTTGTGCCTATTACTGATTAGAACTGCTAAAATCTACCACAGTACAAGTAACCGACTCGCACTACTAATTCTGTGGGCTGCATGAAAGATGCTGGGGCTTACCAGTGAGCTGGCTGAAGTGGATCAACTCTTCTTTGGAAAGTTCAATGCCTTTTGAAGGGCTCAGAGATTCCACTTCAGTAAAAGCTGCAAGAAACAAAATTCATGTAGCCAATTTTAAGGGCACTGTCAGTAATGCTTAGCTGATCAACCTTTAAGAAAGAGCCAAGAAACTTCTAACTCTCTTAAAGCTTCTCAGTACTGTATGAACTGAAAAGAAAGGAAGAAAGAAAGAGAGAGTACGAAGGAACAGAGAACGCATGCCCTAAGCAAGCAGTTCAGATTCCCAGTGCTGGACAAACGGTCCTCAGAACTGATGACAACAAACAACACTAATAAGAATTTCTGAAAAACCATAGAAACACAAAACTTTTGCCAATGAATCATGTATGCTGACAGCACAGACAACATATGGATATGTCTGTCCTTGCGAATAAGACAGACATGCTGTAGGACTGGTCTGGTCCAGGAGAATAAATCACTCTGGGTCTAGCAGGCACTGATAGCACAGCTGTAGGTTTGCACTGTGAGGTCCATACCAAGGGGGGTGGGAAACGAAATCAATGCGTAGGGCTAGAAAGTTAAAGGATGATGAAGAGAGTAACAACCAGAAGTCCACACACACCAACAGCAACCGACTTACCTGGAGGGATGTGCAACTTAAAAAGCAGCTTCAGTTTGTCGGTGAAACTTCCGTTATACAAAATATCTGTCAAAGGAGAAGAGCAAGACGCTTCATTTAACTAGTTCAAAGCTTTGGAAAAACCCTATGAACCTAGGCAGAAATAGCCGAGGGTGGCTAAAGCTGGGCATTATGCAGCTACCTGGCACAGGGAAGAGCTGCAGAAACATGCAAGAATGACAGCATGCCATACTACTGACCTCAGGGTTTGTCTACACTATGAAGTGAGTAGGGTTTCGTAGACATGGTAATATAGTTCAATCCGCTCATTTTCAAACATTGCTAAGAATCTAGACAGCAGGCAAATGTTTACTTGGCTAGTAAGAATATGCCTTCCCCAATACGGGGTGAAAAAATGCAGGCAAAGACGCTGGAATTATAGGCAGGGCCACATGCATGTGTAAATACTTGCTATATGAAAACTGCATCCTGCAAGAAATACAGTGCTGACATTTCTCAGCATTTTCTTTCACCTTTTGATTTGGGCACACCACCATTTAGAACGAGATGCAAAAAACATATTAATATAATATTAAAATTGTCCAGTTACATTCACTTTAAGTCTAGAAAAAATATTGTTCCATCAGGAACGGTACCTTAGCTGCAAGATACGTCCTCTCTGTGTGATGACATAGTTTGAGGAAGCATTTATCATCAACCAGATAGCTTATGCAACACAGTAAGTTATTTCCTAACTCTGAGATTTCAACCTTATGGTCCACTAATATAGCCCCGGCATCGAAAATTGCGTTGATTGATGAATATTTCAGAAAAATTAGCAGTACGTAAAGTCTGCGGCTACTACAAGAAACTGCTCTGCAGAGCAAAGCAAGGATGTGCAATAGTAAGTTTTCACCATTACCAGCCAGACTCACACTTGTTGTTCACCCCCACTCCTAAGTGAACTCTGCAGCCAGGTAGCTCAATCTACCCGGGTCTTTAATCTAGTTCTCTGCAGGATACCAAACACTGTTCACACTAATGGGTGACAAGAAGAATGGAAATCCCATGTAAGTACAGTACTTGAACCTGACATTTTCATACCGAGCACGCAGGCAAATTCTTTGAAGTTTATAAGGCAATCCGAGTTCTCGTCCAGCAGCCTGAACGTCCACAACGCGAGAGAGTCCTTGTTTGCACAATGTGCCCATGGGCTCAAAAGATGATAGAGAACCCGGAACTGCTGGCAATCGATCCGATACTGTTCCAGGTAAGGCAGACTGGGATCGTGGTGTCTCAGGACTGGGCTATTTACACTCCAGTAGCAAGATAGAAAATGTTCTTTCTACAAAAGAAAAAGGCATTGGAGGAACAGAAAGGCCTTTTGTTTGCAGGAGGGAAAAGCGGAGGGGTTTTTTTGTCTCTTTGTTTTTAAGATTGAGTTGATTAAAAGTTGATATGAAAGGCAGGATTCAAATCCTTGTTTAAAACGTGCTGAAATGGTAGCATGCCCCTATTATATATTCACCATAATATACCGATAATTTTGCAAACAAAGACCGTAAGGAGAAAAGCAGCCCATTACCTTGAATAATTCATAAAGCTCTTCCAGGTCACTAGGACTGAATTTTACATCCTGACATATGACACGCAGCTGAAACAAATTAAAATAAAATAAAACAGTAACTTTCCCTGCTTTGATCCAAAGGCTGAGAGATTTCAGCTCATATTAGAGGGCTGATTTGAATCTTCCTCCATATTTTCTGCAGAAGTACTTATGGAATGGGTATGGAACTTGTTTCTAAACAAATCAAGGATAACATGTAGCCCCCCAAAGAAGAGGATGAACACACACCGCATCCCATGCTGGTGTTTATCCTATGCTGTAGGCCGAAGACAATGACTCTCAAATACCAAATGATTTACCCTTATCCAATGTGAGCTTCCTTTGCAAGTGACAAACGGCACATTCAGCCCTTGCAAACAAGAGTTTATTTTCCAGTGCAGGGAATAAGGACTCCAGCACACTAACTCAAGGGCAGCTGCAAGAGCAGAGTCCACAGGCGCTGAATACTGACCTCACAATAAGAAATACAATGCACATGGTCACAGCACTGAAAACACTGTTACTGCAGCATTTAGAGTGACTATTTACTATAGTGTAGACAGAAGTCTTGTTAACTGGTCTGGTTTGAATGTTGGCCATTGAAACAAGCCGGCAAACAAAAGAAACTGCCTACAACCTTCAGGTGGGAGCCTGAATTTTCAGGAGCTTGTGCTATAACCAAAGAAGAGATACTTTGCAACTACAGACACCCATATTCTATAAACACATGCAAAAGATATTTTTATCTTGTTCCAGCATGTTAAATCTTTTTGGTGGCATTTCAGTTGGCTTCCCAGCTCAAGAATCAAGTGAAGAAACATTTTACTGTGTCACTAAGGCCTTTTCACATTGCCTCATGTCTCTAAGGGAAATGCATTAACAATATAACAGCGACACACAGAAATATAGGTCAGCCTGTTCCAATCCATGTGAAGCTTCACAGAAGCTAAACCCTTTTGAAGCCAGCTGGTGATGGTGCTGCCACCAACTAGAGCAGCAGGTCAAACTGTGATTTTCAGATTCAAAAGAGCACAGGGCAAACCCTGAGTTACCAACAGGCCAGGGGGATTTAAGCCCGGAGGGTGCAACACACTGGGTCACTGATCATTCCCTTCCCTCAAGGAGGAGGAAACCTATCAGAGGGAAGAAGAAAGGCAATATCAACTGCTGTGCAATGCCCAGGGCTTCAGTCCTTCCAAGACACTCACCACATTCTGCTTTGTAGTAACTTCAAGGGTCTGGATTACATACAGCCTGTTCCTGCTGCGCATGCTCTGGACATCCTCATATCGAATATCACCATATCTCTATGGGTTGGGGGGAACGGACAGACAAACAAAAACACAAACCCCAAAAAACAAGTTCTATGAAATCAGTTATTTCCAGACAGAGTCATCCACAGTGTCATTAAATCTTTCTGGCAGCTAAAAAGGGCTTTAGTATCAGATGTCTAGACCAATGGTTCCCAAACTTTTGGGACAAACAAGATCACCAACCTTCAGTGTTTCTTGCAGGCCACCGTGGCCCCTTCACATTGTACACCTGGGCTGGACGGGACTACCTGCAACCCTATCATCACAGCTTTAGTGACCACAGGTGGGGAGCCATTGAATCGGACAAAGATCCAGCAAGCATGATCCACACACACTTGTCCTATTTTAGTGCAGAGGGCTGAACTAGATGACCTTTTCAGGTTCCTTCTAGACCTGCGTGTCTATGAAAGCTGCTACTAGTTCACTTTCCTCCAGGAGCAAAGAGGAAGCAGGGGAGTGATTCATAACTAGCTCTCTGGCGTGCTCCTGGGACAATACCATTAGGCAATGCCCTTAACTAAAGCAGATTTCAAATGTACAACTTAAGCTTAAGTTAAAAGATACTAAAAACTACAGGCTTTTCTACTTATGGACCAGAAGTGGCTACCCTGGATGGGTTAGACATGAGGGAGGAAAAAAACCCCAAACACTGGATTTTATGGTCTGAGTAGTACCAAACATCATTCACGCATTAAGATTTTCATCTTTGAATTCAGTGTTGTTTAATCTTCACCAAATCTGCGCGAGGCAACACCACCACAAGGTGTAATACTGGCCTCTTACTCACAGTTAGTAACTGGAGCCATCTGCAAGATGACAGTTCTCTTTTGTAATAACATCAAGGTTTCAACATCTGTTCTCATTCCACATTAAAAAAAATGAAAACAAACCTTTTCACGCCAAAAAGAATTGCATCACAACAGGGAAGTCTGGTTAGAAAGGGAAGACAGGCTCTCATTGCACATTTGGGCAGTCTCAGCACAGGCCTCAGATACGGGAAACCCAGGTCCAGAGTCAGAGTGATGATGCCAAAACAAACCTTACTATTCTGAATTGGGCAAAGAAGGCATTTGAACCTAGGTGTACCACATCTCAGGTTGGTGCCCTCACCACCAGGCCAGAGCAAGAGAGAGAAACACAGCTCTCTCTGTGTCCCTTCAATGAAAACCGTATCAGAATTCTGACATACTGTATTTCCATCAAACACCGCTGCTTCAATGAAGCGGCACAATCCAACAAAATTTCATCCAGTCAAAAATGCCCCAACCAGCTCTATCTGTTGCCCTTCACATGCTGAGAGCTCTGACAGCTAAGGGACTTCTTGACAAAAAAGAGGCAAGATTTGGTTCAGCAAAAAAGGTCTTCCCTTTAAAAGACATTAAATAAATCCCAATACTGTACAAAGTCTACACACAACATAATGAACAGAAGAATACGCACTTCGTTTGCCTCTCGGATCAGGTCGGTGATATCTACTTTTGGGTGGTCACTCTTGGCATTGGACAGGTTTGAAGCCTGCTGCACAGCTGGAGGTAAGGGGCTGTCCTTGTTAGTGACACTGTCAAAAAATCTGCAAGAGAGACATTAAATTAGTGACATCAGACTTAAAGCAAAAGTGGATACAACCACACCTGAGTCTTCTATGCTGGGAAGAAGAAAGTGGATCAAGGGAAAGGAATATTTCCTAAATGGCAGAGAAGAGGAACAGATCTAGGAGATCTATTGCAACCTATCCGCTTCAGAAAATCTTCTGTGAGCTTTTTTGGAATTGTACCAAATTACTGCAGGTTGTATAAAGTGTGCCCCAAAAAAAGAAAGGTTACAACTAGATAAAATGTTACAAGCAGCCATTCAAAATGGGCTAACATGATTTAGTCCAGCTGGAGAAGGAGGTATCCAACCTCATACAGTTTGGGTTTCCTAGTTAAAACCCAAACTCAGCCCATTCTTTCTTTTAGTCAACCTAGGTTGCAATATTGTACTTTGGTTACTTGTTTAATTAAGAATTTAAAACTATCACAGCTAGAATTTGAAGTACGGTATTAGTTTATATGGTTTGTTATAACTATAAATTTCCTTGACAAAAAACTCAGATCAAATAGCTCTTAATACCATTCGATGACCCTGTGAGTTTTCAGCTCTGAGTTGAAAACTGCCCAAGATTAGTAGTCGTGTCCCTTTACCATTACTGTACCATAAACAGATCTCATAGCTCTTATAGGGACAGCATGTGCACTGTGCCTGCTCTTCTGTCACAGTAACTCAGAATAGTAACATCAGCAACACTAACTAAATTGAGGAAGGTGTTACAGCCTGAACCAGGGCATTCTTGCCTACCCTGCATCGGTTCAGTATGCACTTTTAACAGGCATATTTAGGGACCTACTACACTATACTAAACTCACATGACAAAGTGAATTATCTTGTCTTGACTATTCTAACTGTAATGCTAATGCTTAAGGATGGAGAAGCCAACAGACTCTGCTGTAAGAATATGATTAAGGGGTCCCTAGTCCAATGTATGAAATATCTAGGGTACTCCAGTATTCTCTGGGTTGCTTGGTTGGTGAGAAAAGGGAAAGCATCCAGATATTATAAATGCCTGCATGTGTTCTGTATCAGTTTTAAAATGTACAAAATGCATATCTGTTTTAATAACTGAGGTTGAAGTTTTCAAAGAAGCATAATAAAATCAGGCACACATCTCACTGAATTTCAGCATGAGCTGGCCATTTTACTCTCAGCTCAATTTGTCTGCCTTTTCCAAGCAGTAGTGCTTTCTTTTGGAAATGCACTGCACTGATGCTTACATGATTTTTTTTTTTTTTGGAGCAGCGGACAAAAGAGGGGGATTAGGGAACTGCTGTCCATTTATTTCATTCTCAACACTGCAGATGCAGATTTTCTGAGATGCAACCTGGATAGCTAATATTTTCATTTACTGGGGCATATGGCTGCAAAACCATAATTGTCCAACAGTTTGCAGAACAATCAGTTCTACATCCAACTACAACTGTGTTCCTGAGTTGCTTTCAGGAATTAAGAAATGCACCACTACCTGTTTAGAACAGTCACTGCCTCTGCATCATCCTTGCAGGTCAGGAGTTTGTCCATGTTATAGTCCAGCACTGCAAGACCCAGCTGCAGGATTGCCTTTATCCCATCATAAAAGAAACAGTCAACCACGTTGACTGCACTTTCAATGGGCAGCACACTGATAAAGAGGGTAAGGAACCAGGAGAGGGAGACTGATGAGAAGAAGGTCATGTCTGTCATGTGGTCTGTCAGCTGAGGCAGGTGATCCCTGATGAGTTCCTCAAACACTGCCTGATCCACCAAGGCACCTGCAGGCGGATAAGGACACAGTCACCAAAATGTTAAGATTGTGAACAGACAGAAGGTTTTTCTAAGCATTTCCCAGGTGCCAATAGCAATGCCATTACTCGTAACACAGCCATAGGCTGGCATCAGAAACAACAGGAGCAGTTCAGGGTGTGGGACTATACCAGTCATGGTCAGGATGTGTTGGGGGCCATGAAGACAAAAAACATAGGCATGCCCAGGAAGGAACATGCTATTACTTTTGAGAAAGCATAGTCTTCCTGGTTTGCAACAGGAAGAGAAAAGACTTTCAGATTTTTGGGGTTTTTTTATTACAACCCTCCCCCCCAAAATTAGCAAGGGGACCAAGCAGGAAAACATAGAGCTTTTTTCAAACTTTCATTTTCAAATTGGCTAGATTTTCACTTAATTGTCTTCGTATAAGTCCAGCATATAACTGAAGTTTTCTACATGACTGGATTTCCTGAATAGTCTCTCTACCATAATAACACAAAAATAAAATGCTGCTTTCACTCCATAGATTTCATAGACATCAGGGCTGGAAGGGACCTCGGAAGATCATCGAGTCCAGCCCCCCGCCCAAAGGGCAGGAAGTCAGCTGGGGTCATAGGATCCCAGCAAGATAAGCATCCAGTTTCATCTTGAAGGTGTTCAATGGAGGCGCTTGAACCACCTCCGGTGGCAGGCTGTTCCAGACCTTGGGGGCTCGGACAGTAAAGAAGTTCTTCCTTATGTCCAGCCTGAAACGATCTTGAAGTAGTTTGTGACCATTCGACTTTTTTTCCCGGTCGGCAGGCCCTTTTAAACTGCACGCATGCGCAGTGGGCCTGCCGTCGAGGAAGCTGCTCTTAGGGCAATAAGGGGGCCCTGCCCGGGATTTGGGGGACCCTGCCCTACTGGAGGGGGACAGGTGAGTACCCCCCTCCTCTCTCTCTCCCTGGGGGGCTGGGCCAAGTAGGGGCCTGGGCGGGGCTTGACCAAAGAAGGGCTTTGGGATATTCCTGATGTTCAGCTTTGCTTCCTAAACTACCCCAACCAAACCCAACAACTTCCCCCTGCCTGCATTAGCTAGCGTTTCATTTCCATTTTAAACAGATCATTCCATTTATATTTTCAAGCAGACAAAAAAAGACAAAAGCACATTACCGATGATTCGACGATTGAAATAATCAGGCAACATTCTTTCACACACAGCAACCAATAGCCAGAAAGCTTCTTCCTCTTTAGCATACAGCAGCAATACTGATGTCAAAATGTTCATTGCCTGTAACATTCAAGCAGGGCAGGAGGCATTAGCAAAGACAGACAATGGAAGCACTCAGTACAATTCAGTTTTGCTCTACACGTTACATACTATGTATATTTCTTAAAGCTTGTGTATCATGTGTTTTCATAGTTCAGGCCAGATAAGCAACTCTAACTATCTGTGGACCTATGCAACAATACAGTTAAAATGCACAGTACAACATTCAAGCTATATTCTGTATACTCAAAAGCGTGCTATAATGTAAGCCTCATAAATATCCAAAGATTATAGCAGATAAAGCCATGTCATAAGCAGTCTCTAGTGCCAAACAAGTACAGCACAAAAATCAGTATCATTTAATAGTTTGGAGTTTAAGCCAGAAGTAAACTGATGAATCTACAGAAGTGTGAAATATTTTATATAACATTGCTATAATAACGGTTATCATGCATTAATGTAAGTAATGGTTAGACAACCAACGTGTGCAATCTCAGGGGAGTCCCACCTGACAGTACCCAATCTTGGGATTTCTGTATGCATAGGCCGTGAGAACTCTCCGGAGTGCAGAAATGCCAGTGTCACTCTGAAATGCTGGGTGCTCAGGCAGGGAACGACGCAAGTCTCGCTCAATTTCATCAGTAGCTAAGGTGCTTGTCCCAATGGATATTTCCACCACTTCGGTGTAATAACCAGGGTTGGTAGCCATGTCATTAACAGCGCCTGCCAACATGTTTTATTGTACAACGTGAGATGACAACAGTAGAGTACCACATCAGTTCTTTACAAAATGTACACAAGTTCAAGTAGCTATTAAACTATATCAACGTTGTGATTCTCTAGGACATTATCTCAGTATTACACAAGAGTGGCATTATTGAAATCGATGGGCCCCATACTGGCATAACACTGAATTGTAAAGTGAAAAAGGTAGTCAACATAATTAACATGGTACCTTCCTTTGCATTACATACCTAATTTCTCTTCCCTTCCATAAAAAAAAACAAACCTTTTTCTATGTGTAACTGTGCATGTCTTTTCTGGGAAAGACAATTTTTTCTTCCTCCATAAAGCTGGTCAAACCATTTCTGATCTATGCACTTTTCTGAAAGCACCTATTTTTCTCAATGGGAACAATCTAAGCTTTCTGTATCAAACATGCTCAAACACCAAGCTGATGTGTGGCATAAATGCCCAGACTTTGAAGAAAAGCTAACAATTCAATGACTGTTGTGTTCATAAACTCTCAGCAAGAGCTATCACATGGTATACTGGCTGGATAAATTTAAAAGTAATTGTTATGGTATACTAAACCTCTGGAAGCACTACAGAAATCATCACTGATATGGGGAGGGATGGGAGTGGAGAAGACAGCCACAGACTTCCAGTGCAACCATCAACATGTCCTTGGGGCAGTTTCCACAAGCGCTGTAGTTAATGGGAGCTGCAAGTGCACAGTGCCTTACTCTGCACATCAGTACTTTTGTTGCAAAATGCAGATGATGATAGTACTTCCCTGCCTCATGAACAAAATGAATTCATCTGAACAAACTGCTTGTCGAAGAAGATAAAGATATTCTGTGATAAAGGCCATGAAAGCACTTCTGTCATTTCTACATGCATATGCCTTTAAAAAACCTGCAACTAAAACCTGTTATGTTTATAACCAGGAATCTGTGATTTAAGTAGCAGCGTCAAAAAGTTAGTCAAAATCCAAATAAAACTCTCTACTAGAGAAGCTACTGGTTTGTGAAGCTGCCATCCCTACCAAAAGTTGTTTAAATTGAACTAATGAACGTTTCATGACAAGGTTTTAAAATGAAGTCAGAACAGGGTTAATCTAATACTGTCCCCTTGAAACTTTAGAGCATTGCAGGCAACCTACCAATGAAACTAGCATAATTTTACTGGTAGAGGTTTAAGAAGCTGTTGAAGTCAGCAAATGAGTCTTTTAACAGTCAAGACTATAGGCTTGGGCTTGTTTTAATTCAAGACTGTAAGATCCTTACCTGGCTGCTTTAATGCTTCTTTCTTCAGAAATTCAAGACTTTGCTGCAGCAGAAAACAGCAGTTTTGACACAGTGTCTTTGGTCGCTAACTAGAACGTTCCCGTCCCTAAAATTCACTATTATTCAGTACCTGAGAAAAGAAGCCACAGCTCTCCTCTTAATGTCTCCGGGATCCCTCGTACTACTAGGTCACGAGTCTTCTTTGTCCGAAACGTGCTAACTCCACGGCCACATTCTACAAAGAGGATATTCCAGGATTGCTCTTTCATTTTTTCTTTTAACTATCAAAACAAAAACAAAAGTCCAATTAGCAAGTCAGTCAGTCTGGAAGTCAGTCCATATGCTGAAAGGAGAGGAGCAAATGGTACTCGTTACACCAACATAAATGGGAATAACAAGACTTAAGTCAGTACTGTTGCTCTGGACTTGCATTGGAGTAGGTAAGAGCAGAACTGATTCTCTATACGGTAGGTCAAATTAAGTAAGGAAACACAACTATAAACAAACTGATTACTTATTTTCCATATCCCATCTAATACAATGGGAATGAGACTAAATTCCTCCATGTTTATTCACAGCTAAATATATTTCAGTCTCCTCCATACCTGAGACTGTCAGTGAAGCTAAGCAAACGTGATAAAGTTGGCATTTTTTTGCCAATAAAATGCAATCAAAACTAAGAGAGAGAGAGAGAAGAAGTGATCCAAGCAACTCATTTCCTAGTAGGATATAAATCATCCAATTATTCATTAATGTCTTCCTCGCATCAACAGCTCTTACTTGAATGATTGTCCTTGAGGCCCTTTTGGCTGCAAACCACCCCAGAGATTTGTCCTCTGGGAAAGCTGTGCTGTGTGGAGAGATTGACAGTCAAAAGACTTCAGTGGGGCAGAAGAAAGTTTGCTAAGGGACATAAATGTCACTGTTGTCAGGCCGGGCTTTGTAAAAGGCTGCAAAAAAAGTAACAGCTATCACCACAACATATTGCTAGTATGGACGTGGGTGATGAGAAAAGTCAGTACTCAATGCAGGGCAGCCATGCCTATTATCTAGGAACCTTACCTTCTCCTATGGAACCTTGTGGCTGCTTTTCATTGCATGGGGATGTGTGGAAAGTCCCTATAACTTCAGCCAATTTTTAAACATCCTCATATTTTGCTAGAGATGGTCAAAAATAGAAAAAAAAATCTTCTGGGTGAAACAAGCTGCTGGAATGAGATGGGCCACTCCAAGGGCAAAAGATGAAGGGAAAAAGGGGAACTAGAGAAGGAAAAGAGCAAGGCAGAAAAGGAATAAGCACAGAAAAAGATAGGGAAAAAGAAAATGAAGAAGGCACATGAGGCAGACTGCTCACAGGGGCCAACTTCAAAGGCCTGAATAAAGACACAGTGAAAGCAATGTTATGGCCCCGATGCATCAATGTAATTAAAAAAAAGGGGTGAAGAGTTTCAAAGTCAATGGGACATCTCGCTTGCTTAATTATGTTGAGCTTATATGCTTCCTCTTTATGTGCCCACAAAATGCTTCTTGCTCACCTCAGCAATCAGCCTACTTCCCTCTGATATGGGAACCAGATGACAAAACAGGTTATTCTGTTTTTTTTGCCGCCTCTCTCACCCCGTGTTGCGCCACCTCAGATGGCCAGATCCAGGACACAGTGGGCTGGGGAACTGGGAAGTATCCCATAGGTGCTCCAGGCTCTCAGTCTTTTCTGCCCATGGTCTACTTACCCATTAAGCATTCTGCAGCATCAAGCTGTTCTCAGAGCAACTCCAAACAAACAGAACTAAAGGTGAATCAATAACTAGAACAATATGAAGCAGGAAATCTGGACTAGTTTAAGATGAGCACTGAGGACTCAAAATACATAAGTCCATATGAAATCCAGAGCACATCATATATTTATCTGGCATGAAACTGAAGAGAATATTGTAGTAAACTAGTCCATTTCTGCCAAAACCCCAAAATGGATTTCTCCTGAAATGTCCATGACCTCAGTGAGTCTAGCCGAAAGAGGAAAGCCTATTTGCATGACTAAGAACTGGTGAATCAGTTCCTTACTTAAGCAAAAGTGAAGTCATGAGTACATTGTCTGAGTAAGGAGAGAGAAGTGTTGAATATAGCTCTTTGCAAGGGACAAGACTTGCATGCTACAATGAACTTCATTATGCGGGTAAAATGCAATTCAGCTTTCCGTGATCTTACAGGCAGGGCAATTAATGATTACTATCACTATTGCTACAGCTTGGGAACAGCACGTACACTGTTACTCCATTTTGTCCTTTTTAACATTTCAGGAATGCTCACTCTGTGATGGGGAGCAAGGATGCCTTGGGAAGCCCCAGACATCAGGATCTCAGGGTTATGAGGTTCTTTGCCAAGCAATCAGGACCCGGGCATCTCCAGAAGAACCAACTGGAACTGGGGCTCTCAATGTTTCTGGGTCTCTCCTCTGCACTGGTGTCTTCCCATAATCAAGCCTGCTGGAATTTTGGCAGCCCAGGGAATCAAGATAGTGGGCTCTATGCTTAAGTGTGTGTTGGGGAGAAGGGGAAGAAAGGGGAGCTGGGCCAAAATGAAACGATAAATAGAAACGCAATTAAAAATTACAGAATGAAACACTTCAGAAGTTCCAATTTCTCTTCCAGACCAGAATGAAAACTTCTTTGGAATACAGGAATTTCTCATAGAACAGAAATTCTAGGTTTTGACTACTTCTGGTCCCAATCCCACAAGCTCTTCAGTACCTGTAGGCCATGTCCCAGTGTTGCACAGCACTTGGGAATGCTATCATGAAAGCAGGCTCTGACCACTCGCTCCAACACCACACACCCTGCAAGCAAAAAGCAGCTCCAAGGTACATTTTTCAGAGGAAGAGAGTGGGCAAACACGTTCTCTCAGCAGCACCCCCTAAGCATAGTCCTATTTCATGTAGACATGCTCACAAGTTCCCACAAACTGGGTTTCTAATGTAAAAAGTAAATAGAATTTTTTAATACATTTTCCAAGCCTACCTCATATATTAAATAGCAAAAATAAGGCATAGATCCATTTTTATCACTAATAAAATAAGTATCTTCTCCAGATCATAATGTTGTTACTAAGATGTGCATAGGGAATGAAGTGAGGGGGAACAAATTAAGCTGATCTCTGGATTGCATTTTATTTGTTCCCAAACCATTTCCTGTAGTTGTTAAGTCCTGGCAATTCAAATGGATGCGATATTAAGTACATGCTCAGTGCTACAAAATATTATACTATTTATATGACAATAACAACAATAATGGCAGCTCCTTCCTGTGGGAGGCAGAAGAGCTGGATGATATTGCTATGGAAGGATAGGTATATGCTTATTAAACAAGATGAGCAGAAACTGAATAATGTGATATACAAGCCCCTTTGGAAATATAATAAAGAAGCAGAGTAGGCGGAGGAGAGAAGATTGCCCAAGCAATAGGGGTGGGGAGGAAATCAAGTTTTAACTGAAATAAAGTTTCCATTTCAATTTAGTCCTTTTCAAATTAGAAACAGAAAGTTGCCCGCTTCCTTACCATTTTAGAGTCGAGGTTCTCGGCATCCTGAGGATGGAAAACGGTCATAAGGGCTTCTGTGCTGACAGTCTTGCTACTGTCTTTTTGCCCCATCGACCGTCCCTCGTAATAATCCACCAAGTTATCAGGGTCAGGACTAACGGCAACCTACAGAAAATACATTAAAACCCAACAGTCAGAAGTCCTCAAAAAGCAGCACTGATAAGAGATACTATCCAAATATCACTACTTGTGCACATTTTAAGAACCAACAGACATCAGACACATTATTATAATGTAATGATTATACAGGATTCAGAGACATGCTAAAAGTCTCCTACAGCAAGTTACAAATAATCCCTTCTCTGCTGAATTTACAGCTGAATTTAAGGGGTAGCACTTGAAAAGGCCACATGATGCAGCAAGAGTTTTATGCCTTTTTTTCATGACAAACCCTCGTGGGACCAAGAGCTACATAAAATACATGGACAAGATCAAAAGCCACTGAAGACAAACAAGAGACTCCCACTGACTTCAACAGAATCAGAGACATGGACAAGAGCTGCCATGTATTAAAACTAGCAGTTAAATGCATTGTATCTTTTTCGTCAGCCCAATATTTCTGATAGCATTTTAATAAAATAAGTCAAAACATAATGAGCTCAGCACCACTGCCATTCAGCAAGTTCCTTTCAGCATGCATGCAAAAGATATTCATCTTTTGCACCTTAAGTGGAAAGATGATGAATTATAAAGAAATATGGTAGAGTAAAAATGGGCAAACAACTATGGAAGAGCACATGGGGCCAATCGAAAAGCTGAAGTTCATGAGAAGGCCAAACCTCAGCACCACGATGCCACAGAAGTGGCTGCTCCCTCCTATAGATCAGGGGTTTTCAACCTTTTTTAACAAGTGTACCCTTTCTGTCTCAAAGTTTCAGCTCATGTACCCCTTTATATTTTTCTCTTGTTTTTAAGGGGCAGGGGGAAGATCGAGGCCCCGTGGTGGAGAAGGAGGTAGGGCTGAGCCGGGACAGAGCCGTGAGCGCGGTTTATCCGGGGGCTGGGAGCGGGGGCAGCTCCTGCTGCTGCGTGCACCTCAGCAGAGTTCCAGGGGGCAAATGCCCCCCACATCTGTGCCTGGGGCAGAGGCAGCTGCTGTTGCAGGCTGGACTCTGCCCCCCGCTGCCACTGCCCCAAGAGCCACGCGATACCAGGTGGACAGGGGACAGACACAAGCAGGCAGATGCAGACACACACGCGTGCAGATGCAGACATGCACACCCCACCCCCCAGCAAGTAAGTGTGTGGGAGAGGAAGGGCGAGGGTGGGGGCCAGATCGGGAATGCTAGGGGAAAGTAAGCGGTGCCCCTCTGCAGGCCTCACATGCACCGCCCAGCCAGAGCGGCGGGAGGGGGGCGGTAGGGACAGCAGCGGCCACCACGTGCAAGCCCCTGCCCCACCCTGGGTGGCTGGCGCGTGTGCAGTCTGCAGAGGGGCACCGCTGCCCTCGCCCCTGCTCCTGGGAGTGGGCATAGAGAGCGAGCTGAAGTGGGGGGTGGGGAGGTGCCGTGGTGTGCTGCGTGGGGCCAGTGGCGCCTCGTGCATCCCTCCCCCTGGTAAGAAGCAAAGTATGGGAAGGGGCCAGGGGAGACACCGCCACCATGCCCCAGGGCGTGCTCCGCCCCGCCCACCTGCCCACCCATACATACCCCCTAGGACCTGTCTGACTACCCTGGGGGGTATGCATACCCCCAGTTGACAACCCCTGCTATAGATCATTGCTGTTGATATTCAACCATCTTGGGTTTTTTCGTTGCTCACCTTAATTTTTAACCCTTAAGAACAGAACTCCAGGAAGAGGCTTTGACAACAAGCTATTTTTCCATGCTGAGCCAGCAGATGAACTGCACCGTTTCAGATCCCATTTTGGAGGCAATTCCAACCACTTATGATTTTTCAGCTGTTATTCCTCTAAATGGTTCTGAGCTGTGCACAGCAACAAGAAGGGCCATCTGTACTGAGTCAAAGGTTCTTTGTTTCAGAAGTACTTCACTATATACAGCTCCCATATCATCAAATATTAGGCTTAGAAAAAACTGTACGTTACCTACAGGTTAACTGCAGCTGTCTGCTCAACTCTGCCTATATCCCTGCTCTTGGCAGAAAACCTCTCTGAAAGACAACGTCCCCAATGCTGATGATTGCCAAGAAACGTATTAGAAAATAAAAATGGAACAATGTTCCTGCATAGCTGAGACACCAGTCCCTGGATACTGTACTCTTCAGTGACAGGACTTGCCCTCGATTTGCTCAGTGTATAAAGATTTCCTAGAGTTTGAGACTGTCTGTTCTTAATGCTTGCTGAAGCAAGCAGAGATACCTAGCATTTTCCACACACAGCTGTCCCCAGTACAGAATTAAGTTAAGCAATGGTAGGGTTATCCCACAGGAAAGTCACGTAGCTCCCAAACAGTGCATGCCAAGAGTTAAAGCCTAGCAAACTGTTCTATATCTGGAACCGGACTGATCAGGACATTGTAAATGAAGGTTTTTTGTTAGCTCCTTCACTGAAAGTCAAAGTAAAATTCCAATCAAAGCAGGTGCCTAAACGAATGAAAAATATGAGGAAAGCATGCCAAAGACTACATTAAAAAGTGCTGGTTTCAGATGGTTTGAGGGTTATCTTCTGGATCCCAGAGACCTTCTAACATAATACAGCTTGTACAGTTTTGGCCATGTCTAATAGGAGAAAATGTACAGTATGACAGGGAGCCTGAGCCAAACCCTCAACTGGGACAAACTGATCCAGCTCCACTGACTGCACAGGATCAATTTTACCCTGGCTGCTGGCTTTTGGTTTTTAAGTAGAGGAAAATGGGTTTCACATTCATTTTCATTGTTTGTTTGGTTTTTTTTTTTTAAATGTGACTGCTTACAAAATCCAGGTATCAGACATCTTGAGGATTGATACTGCTGCGCCCCTGACTTTATATCCAGTCCCATTCCACGTTAAAATCCAGATGCTTTACGGTGAGAACATAGAACACAGACTAAGACAGTTAGCTTCTTACTGGACAACGTGCTTATTTCAACACCCTCCCATTAAGCAGTTGTTAAGAAATTAGTATTACCTGTGCTGTCACCTCTGGATTTGCAGCGTGCTGTGGACTTGACGTCGCACCACATTTGAGCCTGAGCTTTGCCACCAGTTGCTCAAAGTCTTTAACATCTGTGAAACGAAAAGCTCTTTTTCCTTTGATGCTAATGCTGACTCCTCTGTTAGCTGGATCAGCTTTATCCACACCTACAACCTAAGGAGACAAGAACACACAAATTAGTTGTCCCATCCTTTTACCTGATTTTGTCAGCCTGAGTTGAGGACAGAAAACAGCAAGTGTACGTAATTAAGAAAGCTCTCCCCCTCGCTATCACCAATGACAATACGGATAAAATTAGACCACTACCCAAGCAGAATTAATACTGTGGGAATGTTTAAGCCCATTATCATGAAGCACAAGATAAATTACCTCCATCATAAAAACCAATCATTACTGGGGCAAAGACTTTCAAGAGATGAGCACATTGAATACCGAGCACATCTGAATATCTAGTCCCCTGTGACTGCTGAAACTGGTGCATCTAACACTGTGATTTGAATTCAGTCAGACTCTGGCTCTTGAAAATAATCAAGTGAAACAGGTTGGACAGGAAAGGCCCTCCGCTGAGAATACCCTGCTGAAGACATCTGTCACAGCAAGCAACAGCTGGAGCAGATCTTAACTGACATGTCGGAATGGTTATGGGTTACAACCATTAATACATTTTAATAATGGAGTGCTTTTGGGGAATAACGTATCAGCAAGACAACTGTTAATCACTACGCTGACTCCCGCTGCTGAGTGTTTAATACCACTGCAAGGGAAGAATAAAGATTACCAACAAAAATGAAGCAACTCTGCAATGATGTAAAACAATGTTAAGGGCCTGAAAATCTGAAAAAGCAAAATCTGATTCTGTAACTCTAAATGTTAGGCTCTGGAATTACAGTTGGTAAGAGTCCCTGTTCTACCAAAACCAAATCACATGAACTACAATATCTAAACAACTATTCTCCAACCATTTGGGTTGGTCTAATAAAAGATATCAAATTTACGCAAGGAACCTTGTCTGCCTATGTCCTTAGACTAACATGGCTACAACCTACACCCCTAAAAAAGGTATGCCGCACTTATACCCGTTCCAGCCCACTGAAGTCCGTTGAGCTGCACTAGAAGTTGGCTTGCATCGGTGTATATCGTGGCCTTTAGACTTCCATCTCAAGTGAAAAACATGCTCTGACAACATACAGCAGGCAGCAGGGCAAAACCTCAATGGTATCAGCTGTCCTAGCTCCATTACTTGGAATAACAATACACACCAAATGAAGGTCTGCCCCATCCCATCTAGTATCCCATATACTGTATATGCATATGAGGAAGCAAGTATGAGCGTCACAAGAATGTGTGCCAACATCTTCATAATTTCCAAGGACAGTTATTTTAAAAAGTGTATTTGATACTGGTGCAAGGTGGTCAACAGTAGGGTGACCAAAATGTGCCAATCTACCAAATATGTGCAGCATAGGCAGAGACAGGAGAGTTTTTCTATGCGCTGCTCCACAAATACGTTTTGTTTATCATAAGGCAATCACAGCCAATGCATAATGTAATCGTCTCTATTACCTTACGGTCCTTACCTGTCCGAGGAGGTGTGTAATGGTAGACAGATATTTATTCGCTAATCTCCTGTTATATAATCCTCTGAACAAGTGGCACCAATCAGATTTATGCTGGCAAACTAAAGGGGATAGACAGCAGGACCTACCTCCGGTGCTTCAGACACCTGCCCCCTCTGACACTTTACTTTTGACTCATCTCACATTTTAAAGGAAGACGCTCTGATTAAGTATGAACAGGGAGACTCATGCAAGATAAGATATTGGTGATCCCCTGCTCAACTAAAAAGCAGAGAGAATGTGTCAGAAGTCCTGGGACAGAAATGTGAAGGGGTTTTTTTGTACATCAGGTTTAGTTTAAGGACAGTTGATATTGGCAGGGATGAAACTATACAAATTAAAACAAACACAAATTGCATCTATTTCCTAATGAGATGCTTGACCAAGAGAAAAGTGAATGGCTATGGCTATGGTTATGTAATACTGAAAGACTTCTAATTTGTGTAGAATAACTGGCTCTGACCACAATTTGCACTACCTCTCTTAGAGGAATGATCACACTGCACAGGTTGCCATCTTGGCTGGCAAAGCAGATGTAGTTCTCTGAAATGCACATTTTCCCCAGGGTGCTGAAATGGCAGAATGGAACCCATAAGAAGCATTCATGCACTTCCTGCAAGGTCTCTTCTTTGGGTAGCCTAAAGAACGCACTGAACTGCTCGCTGTGGGCTCGGCTCTCCAGACCTCTAAAACAGGATGAAAGGGAACAAGGGATTCAAAGTTGTAATTAATTCTTATATCACTTTACATTTAAAGCTGAACTGCCTTGGGAAAGGACTACTGTACAAAAGTTAAATGGCACGTTTTCTAACACTAAGAGTCCAGAGTGGTACTAAATAAAGTTCTGAACACCCTCATTTCCCAAAGAGCCCAGTGTGTTTAGCACACTGCAAGATCAGGCCCTTGAATTCACACTTAAGCAAGTATTTAAGCATATGCTTAAATCCATCCCTCTTCAACAAAGCACTTACGTACGCACTTCATTCAAAATAGGTGCCTAACTCTAGATCTCAGAACTCTTTACAGGCACTAAACGGGCAAAAACATTTTTTTGCAGAAACGGGCACTAAATCAGATAGGGGGGGAAATGCCTTCTAAAAACCCAAATATGTTCTGGTTTCTGATGCCTCATAATAAACCAATCAAGCTTAAACATGTTTTGGCTTGACAGAGGGTTAAGGAACTAGAAACACAGCGTGTTAGAAGCATCTGCCACAGGATTATTATTCACACAAATGCCGCCAGAAACAGTGCTGGCAGGAGGGCTACATCCAACTCCAGCACTGCCACCAAACCAAAATGTCAATTACCTACAAAATACACACCTAGAACAAGTGTAATCGTTGGTGTAATAAACACCTACGGAGGGAGAATTATTATTAAGGGTGTCAGGGGCTATAGCTAGGGGCTGATCAAATTAAATTAAGAGAAGAAAAATATTAAGCTAACAGATTTATGGAACTCCTGGACTGCTATCTAAAGCAGCAAAACTGGAAGTGAGAGTTGAAAAGGCAGGATACCTAACAATCATGTAACGATCTGGGGAAACACACCTTTCACCAAGGCATATTTTATATCTGAAACTCCCATGTTCCCCAAAACAATTAAACGAGTAAGGAAAACCAGGCCCCAGGGCACTGCTGATTTTAAATCACCCCTTGCCAATGATATGTCGCCTTTCTGTTTGCTATCCAATTAACACGTTAAAAACTGGTTTCCTTCTCCCTCCTTTGCCAACAGGCTTGTTTCAGTGACATGAGGGATTCCAATTTCCTATTCCTACTTCTTACTAAAACCACACTTTAAAAAAATTCACTTCATTGCAATCTTGTTCAGAAAATATTTCAGGTCCTTTAATACAATTCTTATCTAGAGTAAGTAACCCCTCCTGAGATGGTTACATGGTAGATGAGGGGATATAAAACCAACGATGATATCTCTTTATGGCAAAGAACAAAACAATAAAATATCAGAAGTATTAAGTAGGCTTCTCAGAGGGAACAAATCAAGGAGTTCAGCAGCTTTAGTAAAATGAAAATACTAAATAATACTGTATTTTTTCTGTTCTAAATCTCTTCTATTTCTTTGCAAAAAAATAATAAAGTCTTCAATTACAATCAATTCTGGTTTGCAAAACGTGGAAGGATTTTATAAACCCAGACTGGAAACCAACTGATTAGCTTTAATGATGCACAAGATACTCATTAAGATGCCCTCAGAAAAAAATTAGGTTTAATCATACAAAATTGTTATTTCAGGGCCTCTCCAGTAGAAGGGCTTCTAAAAAATTAAAAACTGGCTCACGGTTATTTGTAATAATATACCCACTGGGCCAGACTTTGCATTCAATACCACTTACACAAATCTGAAAACCTCCACTGGTTTACTGCAGATGATCCAAATTTATACTTGCTTAGCATACCAAAATTTGGCTCTGTCTAGCTCAGGGGTGGTAAACCAGCAGTACGAGTGCCACAGTTGGCACAGGCAGCCTGTGTGTGTGACATGTGGCAGATGGGGGAGGGGACAGGTAGCACAGCAGCAGACAGGGCAAGAAGCAGAAAGCAGAGCCACAGATCAGGCAGAGGAATGGAAGTGGAGCAGCACTGGGGGAGGGTGTGGGGCTAATTTGTGGCATGTCTGCCAGGAAGAATGGCCCCACTGATCTAGTTAATCCTATATTGGGATGCAATGCAAGAGAATGAAGACTAGCACAAGACATTTCTCCTCCACAAATCATAATGAAGACAGTCAGCTCCCCTATTTACTTGGATACTTCTTTCTGGGTAAATAACACATTGTGTTCAGGTCCATCTTAAGGAAGGAGATCCCTGCACTTACAGATTAAATATGCAAGAAGTAAAAGTCTACTTAATTCCTGCTCTGCCACGTATTTTGAACAGCATTTTTGTTCATTCAGTTATCCATGGAGAAGCAGTACAGAGGTACATGAGACAAGTCTTTGCAAATCAAGCTTCTCTCTCTCAATCATGGTAATATCATTTCTTCTGCCAAATAACAGTAAATTGTAGAACCCTGCATCATTTCATTCCTGAAGTTTAACAAGGCACTTGAGCAAGAGAGATAAGTGTCTACAAAGCTGTTACCGCAAAGCCCTTGGGACTCCCTTACCTATACCTTAGAACTGTACTGTGAACAGAGAGGATGCACTACAAAATAAATTACCTCTTAGTGATTTGCAGGGGATCATGGAGGATTTGGTCACTTTCAAAAGTCTCCTTGTCAAAAAGTCTTCTAACGGTGTAGTTTGCCAGCTGCTCCATGAGCAGAAATGTCTCATTAATGTGCAAAAACATGGAAAAGTAGTGATCCTCCCCATGGGAGCGCACGTGAATGCTCTCCGTCAGGATCACATTGGAGGTCTTTTCAAGTCTCGAGATTTCATCCCAGGAGATAATGAGTTTTACTGAAAAACAGGTTTATAAACAGTGTACATAATTTATCATTATAGCCTATTACACATCTTCCCTTAGTTTAAGGGAACATATACATGGTCAACAGCAATAATAAAATGTAATGAAACAGAGCAGTAAAATTACTATTCATCAGGCAGTTTAATCATGGCTGAAAGCACTACAGCAAGCCATTGAACAACCTTCACTGTAATTCTCATTTCAGACAAAAAAGTGGTTTTTGTGCTGGAAAAGAGAAAATTGTTTTGATCCAGGTCAGTGTTCTTGCTTACTTTTTAACAGACAGGCCCAATAGCAGTAGCTTCCTGCACTAAAATACTTGTATGGCTTGCAATTGTTCTTTTCACTTAATGCAAAACACATTCTACATACCACAAGAAAATTAAATATGCAGTTTGTAAGGGCCAGATTACAAATAACTCCTCCTCATGCTGAACAGTACCACCCTCCACAAGTATTTCACTGGGTGCAGTGGGACTACTTGCTCTGGTTAAATACTACTGCCACCGGTAAGGGTAATAATCTACCCCTACAGCAGAAGCAGGGCAGGGTGGCACATTACAGATGAAGAGGCACGAGCATTAGTAGCTACAGCCTGCTTCATCAGATGCCATGAATGGACTGCTGCCATAGCATCTGACAAAGTAGACCTCTGAAAGATCATGCCTCTCTCAATGAACGTTAGCCATGCTAGTCTATAAAGGTGCCATCCTTGTCTGTCTTCTGCTCAACTGTGGGCTATCTCAATCTAGCTCTAAGTATTTGATGACGCTGTTTTATTGCCTAGTCCTGAAAGGTACTGTCCACTGCCTTCCAAGTGCTGAATACAAGCAACTGCTATCGACTTCAGTGGGAACTGAGGGCATTCAGTTCCTTGCAATTACCACTTGCAAAACCAAAGACTACTAAAACTACTGCTGCTGCTAATACAAAGCCAGAGACTATCTTTTAAGATGCTCTAAAGGAAATTTGCCAAGCTAGAATTTTATGGAGAGAAAAAATCAAAGAGCACCATGTAAGTAAATACTAAATTAGGCTCGCTAATCTTTGTTCCAACTGAAACTGCAAAATTGCCAAACTATGTCACACAGGCTGCTTTGTTTTAATGCACTTAGATTCATAGATGCTAGGGTTGGAAGGAACCTCAAAGGATCATTGAGTCTGACCCCCTGCCAGTGGCAGGAAAAAGCTGAATTAAGACTTCATCAAGCAAGCCCACCATTTATATCTAACAGGCTTGGTATCTTTCTGATACACCTTAATGCCTCCTGTTAGCAATGGTGAAATACATGTATATTTTCATTACATTTATCCATTTATAAGGCTATGCAACTTTCTTCCCATTTTCGAGTTGGAATGTTGCATATTTATTATTCACTGAACTCAATACATTTGCTGGAGCAAAGTGAATTTACTCACTAGAGTTATGCATAAATATCACCATTGTACAATCTATCTTTTTGGGAAGTTATTTTTAAGTCTGCATGCAAGAGAGGACCTAAATCACAAGTCTCATGGACTGAATTAATGAACTTGTACAGCTTGAGCTAAAAATGCATGCTCTGCAGCAGAGAATTATAACAGACCTACATTTTCTGTGAAGTGGAGACAAAGATATGCAACACAAACTGACTAGAGGGTTATATATGCAAATATATGCATAGAAAAAAGACAGCAGAAAAAAGGCACTGGTTTTGAACCTCAATTCTCACATTATGAAATATGTGAAGAAATATATCAACATTTAATCTCTAAAGGCTGAATTTGAAATTGCTTCATATCTGAAGAATGGTAAACAAAATGCTGATAAGTCATTGGGGCTGACTTACTTTCTGCTCCCAACAAAAAGGAATAAAAGCTAAAGAAGTTGGTACTGAGATAAAGCCACCCCTGACAGGGCACTCGTCCTCTCCAGTAACTGCATGAGTAATAGGTCACCAACTTCTCCTGCTCTGGCAATCCAAAACACTTTTCAAATTTCAGAAGAGCTTCCCGGAATTTCTCAGGATCTTCTTCTTTTACGAATGAACCCTTCCCCTCTTCAGCAATCAAGCCCTAGAAGTAAAATAAAACAAGCAAAAAAATCAACTGATCAAAAAGAAATGTCTGTCTAGCCGGGCAATGTAATTAAAGATCTTATGTAAAAGCTCAGGGGGAGGAGGAGTGGGATATTCTATTTTCCATCCATTTTAAACAGTTACTTAAGGCCAATGGATATTTTATTTACCGGCAGCAACATAATTTCTCTTAGCATTTTTTAATAGGGTAGAATAGTTTCATCCCACTTGACTGCTCCTATTTAACTCAAATGCACAATCTGTTGAAAAGCATTAGACTGACAGTGCTGCCCCCCTTGCCCTAGAAAGGGAGTGTTTCCAATATGTTTCTGAAGAGCAAGTCAGAAAAAGTTAACTGTATTAGCTATGCAGCCTGCATGCTACTTACTCTGATCTTTCCCTGTACAAAGCTAGTAATGTCTTCATTTGAATCAAATACAGACAAGGTCTTCATAACATTGTGCTCCAACCAGTCCCAGTGTTCTGTTATTTCTTCTCTGCTGGCTCCTGATGGAAAGAACAAGTGTACAGGACTTGTGATATAAAATTAATCAAACAAAGATACCAACGCCCTGGTCCACAAGGAACTTGGGCAAAATGCAAGTGCTGAAGTCTAGAAGTGCTACCTTCTAATGCAGTAGGACTGAAGTGTACAAACTTAAGTTTCCACCAATAAAATTCCCCAAAAACCTAGAGTTCTGTTTTCACGTGTGCCCAGATGTTGTCAATAGCAAACAGGCTGGTTCCCATTTCACATCTTCACTCCCCCTCATGGTCCACAGAATAAGTATTCCTACATCTATATCCCCTGATGGGCCTGATCCCAGGTATCTCCACATGGATGAGTGTTGTACCCATTAAACTAGTCATGCTCTCTCTCTCCCCAACTCTAACCCTGTGGATCTTCCATGCCTTTCTGGACCCTGGTACCACTCCAATATGGGCAGAGTGCTCCCACCCCAGAGTAGCCAGATGGTTAGGGCACACTCCCAGGAAGAGAGAGGTCTGGATCTGAAACCCTTCATGCAGAGAAGGGAGGCTTAAGACTCCCAGAGCCTCGGCAACTGATCTATCAATACGTTATTGTACAGAAGGGGAGGGAGGAGGAACTGACATCAACTGTGTTTTGGAAGAAAGGAGTAATGCCTCCTCTGGTTTCAAATGAAATAGCCTAAGCACTTAACTCCAGGACAAATCCCAAGCACAGGTACTCTTTCCATGCAACACAGTGAGGGGTCTAAGCCTTGGAAATGAGAGGCAGTTAAGAGAAACTGTCCTCTTCAACATTAGCTCTCGAGGCAGTTCCTCTTACAGTGTGCTAGCTATTACGAATCCTATTCTGAGGTGCCTTCCTTCCCCTTTCCGGACTGTATACAGGGCACACACCCCTAACTCACGGCCATGAACTCCTCTCTGGGGGCAGAGGGCCTAGAAGTTGGGCACTGCAACACTCAGTTTTGCAAGGCCCAAGGCTCTCTGAGGCCCTACTTGCACCGATGTGGGGGACAGTAGCTTTACTGTACGTCGCAACACTAGCAAGAAAAAACAAGTGGTACCAATGAGGTTTTGAAGTAGAGTAAAGCCATCTCTTTGACAAACACACAATATTGGTAAAGACCTCTTATTACACTGTAGGGCTTGTTTACCACTTCCTTGTACTCAACATGGTTACTCACATTTTGCCCTTGCATTGAAGATCAGCAATCATTATGTTCCTAAACATGCTAAAGCTCTGTTGACCCTAGTTTAAGGACAAAGTCACTTCCATCCACACAACTGAAGTCCCATCTCTGCCGTGAAATGAAACCATGTCAGGACTGTCATGTGCAAAAAAGGGTTCCACAATGCTAAAGAAACCTTATCCCATTTAAAATATAGAAAGTGTGTGGGAGCTAATGCCCGTGGTAGGAAACACTGCCTCAGACTCATGCAGACTACATGATCCTTGAAATATCTTCTGGCACACCCAGGAGCACTCGTCTCATTGTTGGACTTCCTGCAACTTCAGTGTAGTGGAATAAGAAGTGCTTTCCTCCCTTTCTTTCCAGGAGGATGAATAATTTAAGAAACTTTCTTGTAAAGGTATTTTAGACAGAAACAAACTGTATAATCCAAGGTCAGGCTGATCATCCAAATTATAATGACATTTAAATGCAATAACTAACTGGCCGATTTACCTTCATTGTTTCGTTTCCTACACAGTGCTATTTTAGGGCAAATGCCTACCCACCCGGATCTCCTTGGTTTTGGTTTTAGAGCACTGTCATGTGCTATATTCATCAGGGCTGTCCAACCTCTATGTGGCTGGGGGCTGCACGTGGCACCAGCTGCAGGCCCTCGGACATCCACTGTGCGCAGCCATGTTCTACCTCCCGCAACTGCTGCCAGGTGGGAGAGCTCCTTTATTTGCCCTGCTTGCTACCAGGCAGCTGAGTTCCCCCTGTCCTTGCCACTCATGGAAGCCCATTCCCCGCCAACCCCCATCACTTCCCAAATGCCCTCCCCTACTCCACAGTCCCACACAAGCAGCCTGAGGCTCCCACAGCTGGTGCTACTGTCTAGGCAGCAAGCTTACCAGGCCACCCCGACCTGGCTGCCTTGCCTTGCCTGCCCCAGCCATCACCACACAAGTGGGAGCAATGAAGCGAATGGTGGCCAGGCAGGAGCCTGTGGTCCACACACTAACCCCTTGCAGGCTGGATGCTGCCTACAGTCCCCTAGTTGGACAGCCCTGTGCTATATAAATAGATGTCATAGCAACTTTAGAGCCAAGAGAAAAAAAAAACTTGCTGAAACACTGCACTTTCCAGCAAGGTATTTTGATTACTACTTTACATTGCAGAAGAAAACTTAGCTGCTAGCTAGAACTTGGATGTGTGAAATGTCAGAGGGCCAAACTCAAAATAGATTATGATAATGCTTCAAAACTAGGCATTTTTCTACACCCCATGAAGAATTTTGCCAGTGGTAACAGTTAATAAAGTACAGTCGTCATAGTAATGAAATAAAGATGGTGTTTATAAAACAGCAGCAAAAGGAATGCATCCAAGAGCACCGAGATAAAGTCAAGAGATGGGTGGTAATTCCTTGAGCTGACTAAGGATTAATACAGCAAATTTAGCTAAGTAGATGCTACAGAATAAAAGGCTACAAGTTTTCATACTCCACAGCAGGGGTAGGCAACCCCCAGCATGCGTGTGTGGCACACAAAGACATTTTGTTTGGTATGCATGCCTCGGGTCGGATGACGGGGGAGCCGGCAGCAACCCGATCCTTGTTGTGGCCGTGCAGTCCCAGCCCCTTCCCTGCTGTCTGCTCGGAAACGTGTGTGCACCTGCCAGCAATGAGCCAAGCCAGGGCTCCGGAGACCCTGGTACAGCTGCTTGCAGCCTCCCTGCTGCCTGCTGCAAGCAGCCTGGGCTTTGTGACAGGTAGCAGGGGCCTACCCAGAGCCCGGGCTGGCTGTGGCAGGCAGCCGGGAGGCTACAAGCAGCTGCACCACTGTCTGTGGAGCCCCAAGTCAGCTCGTTGCTACCAGTGGATGCATGCACGCCTAAGACCAGACAGCAAGGAACAGGCCAGAGCTGTGCCGCCACAACAAAGATTGGGCCCTTCACAGCTCCCACACCACCTGCCCCTGGCATGCTAACATCTTACAAATCGAGGTTGAGGATTTTTTTTTGGCACTCTACTCAAAAATGTTGCTGACCCTTGCTCTACACAAATTCTTTCTCCGGTCTCACAGGCCTCGAGAGCCTGTAGCTGCCTTTACTACAGTCCTTCATCTCCTTGTATCTTGCTCAATCTCCTTCCACCTTGTCACATCTTCACCTATCCCCCCAGATCAATTTTTCTGTTATTGTCCCATTGCTGCCTTGGTCCACCTCGAGGTCTCTACGGAAATTACTTAGAAATAAACAAGACTAAAACACCCAAGTACCAACATTGCCTTAAGGCTGTATCATCTTCATTTTGCTTTAAGAGACCGATTTCCACAGGTTTATCTGCATCTACATTGAGATTGAGTAGAAATTGCTCTAAATCAGTGCTTCTCAACCTCTGCAGGGACAGGACACCCCTCCACTTCAGTGCTACCCCCAATTAAGGGGTACCCCTTCAGTACTACCCCTTAATTGGTGCCACCCTCAATTAAGAAGCAAATGTCAAGGCTGCCTCAGCTTCCCTCAGTGCTGCCTCCAGATTAAATTGCCTCATGCATCTCTTACACTGCCAGTCCAGAGGGGCTGTGGCATGAGCACATGGTACTACTACTTTAGGGCTGTGACCAACCTAAAGGTGGTAGGAGCTGCCTTGTAGTGGGCAGCCCTCCCTGGTCTGGCCCTTCCCATGCTCCTCCTGGAAATAGAGTCGGCCACGTGGAACTGTCCCACGTACCTCTGTTTCCAGGGACCGTGGGAAGGGCTGTATCAGGTAGGGCAGCTCCTGCCTGCTTTAGGCTGATCACAACCATAATGCAGCATGAGTATGTGCAGGGCAGTTTTACCCAGATGTCGAAGCAATGGCAACGTTTGTGTCATTGCACCTCTGAAGGGGACTCGCAGCACCCCAGGGTGCTGTTGAAAACCACTGATTTAAGTAAATTTAAGGAGAAATAGATAGAGCCCATCTAATAGTTTCAGTAGCATTTAAGAAGAGTGGAAATAGATGTCAGGAGTAATAAACAGCAATAAAAGGGCAACATCATTTTCTATCACTCTGTGCATTAAATCAAGCATTCAAGATTTTAAGGCCCAGGTAGACTACCCAAAGTGTGAGATTTTCAAGTGTCTAAAAGGTTTCGGCAGACAGAAACCAAATCTTAAATCACTTAAGGCCTTTCAAAAATTCCAGCTTTTGAGACTATTCGATGTGGCGATTCTCTTGGCACTAACATCTGATACTACTGAAAAGCAACATGTAAAGAAAAGTGGACAGGAATATCAGAAACAGTTCTTATTGCTTCGCCAAACGGACCAGAAGTGTGAATATGCATGCAGCCTCTTTGTGGGTGGGTGCACAAGGTGAGGAGCTAGAAATCATAAGACATATTTCTGTCTTGGGCACTGACATACTGACTGGTTTTGTAGAAGGCACTCAACTTCGTTAAGTTTCAGATCCTTAAAATCTGTAAAAATGAGATAAACACATACTTCACAAGAGTGGCCCATGTTTTATACATGCGCCATGGCAAAACGCTCTAAATGTCTTACACTATAAATGCGCACATGCAGTCGCTTTTATCCAAGTATAAACTTATGTATTAATGTAAGCCAGAAAGTATAATGAACACTGTGCAGAAGTTCAATTATATTCAAAGGAGAGCTAAGCTATAAAGTGAGCTGCCAATTCCACCAGGTATCTGCAAAGCTATCATGCTACTTTTTGCATTTATAGATATTTAGGATAATTATGTATTTGCATAACAATATGACCAAGGAAAAGTGAGTGTGCATGTTTACACAGACTAAGAACTCAGTCCTGCAGCTACAAGTGAATAGTTTTCCTTC